ATTATGAAATATTGTCAACTTGTTTTGACAGTTTTACAAGTTTCTCGTTGCCGTACTTTTTGTTAAAATCAGTTCCCTCAAAAAGATTTTTACTCTTTTACGTCTCTTTGGCGTCTCATTTAAGAACATTTTATTTGGAGCTTATCTCTGGATATATGGGGGCCAAGTTGGACTCATTTAATTTCTAGTATCGCTTCACAAAGCTACGATGGCATATGACAATTCCTATTCCCATAAAAATCTACATTGTTTAACAGAGATGCTGATTTTGGTGTGTAAATGTTGTCGCAGTTGCCCGACTCCTTCATTCGTATTTCTTCTTCTTTTTTTCATTTTTTGTTTCCCTTACAACAACATGTGGGTTCATTTATATCCAAACATTATGAATGTTTTATAGTTCAACTAACAAAAAATAAAAAGACGACACTGGCACGATGAGCATTGTGCTATGGCTGGATGCATGTGTTGTGTGTGCGCGTGTGTGTGTGCATTGTATGGTGCATTTTTTTGTTTTCTTCAAAATAAAAGAGGCATTAGCACCAGTCATCATCATCAGCGGCAGCAGCCGAAGCACCACCATGATCATCATCAGCAGCATGCACACAGTGGGTTCAGCAGCCAACATTTTGTAAACAACACTTCGGACAACAGAGTGCTCTCTCACTCGTCGTTGCCTTAACTCATAGGTAAATAGATATGCTCGAGCACACACACACGCACGCACGGATATTTACATGCACTTTACCACATGTGTATGTTGGTATACAACAAAAACAATAAAAATACTGGGAAATAATTATCATCATCCCGTTGTGGTGTGCTGTGCACCGTTTTCGTTGTCGTTGTTGTTGCTGCTTGCTCACTCTTAAATCCCGTTGTTAGGCTTATTGTTGTGATAATATCGTTGGCAGGAGGTACTCTATTGTTGTTTTTCCACAACTGGTGTTGTTGTTGCTTTCTAAACTCACGCACTTGGCCATTGTTGTTGTTGCTGTTGTTGTAGGTATTTTATGTGTTTTGTCACTGGAGTTGTTGGTTGCTGCCGCTGCACACATTCTGTTCTTTTTCTTTCTGAATTCTAAATTCCCACTGAGTCGGAGTGAGTGGAGTGTTGCTCTCTTGGTTGTGTCTCCTGTCTCTCTGGCCGTAGAAAGCAGGGAATTTTGTTTAGTCGTCGTTGTTGGTGTTGTTGTTTTTATTCCCCCTTTTGGTGTGTGGCTGCTCTATGTTGGTTGCATTTATGTTGGCTGGCTCCGTATGCATGTGCGCGTGTGTGTCTGTGTGTGTGGTGGTTCTGTTCGGTGCGCTGCTAATAATGAAGAGCCCAAAAACATAACATACAAACAGTCGAAAATTTTCCCTTATTGTGTACGGACGCTGGATGCGGAAAAATGAAAGTTTACGGCATTTGAGAGTTCTTCCTCGTTCTTGGTTTCTTTTTTTCCTTCTTTTTTGTGTACACAACGGACGGTATTCTTTAAGCGCACCACACAGCAGTACACATGTGTTCGTGTAAATGTTTTTCCTCACTGCTTGGATTCGATAATTTCTTTTATTTGGAAATGTCTGCCGCATCATGAAATGGACTAAACAATAACGATAATCATAAAATAATTAACAAAATAACCAGCAACATAACAACCAAACAGAGAAACTTCAAAAAATATCTAAAACTACTTCTCCATGGATTAAAGAAAAAGTTCAGAACAAAAAATACATCACAGTTTTTCACATTAACTAGCATTTCAAAAAGAAATACTAAAATCAATAAAGTGAGTAAAATTAATTAATATCAGTCTAAAAGTTTATGAAGGAAATGATAAATTGGTTATGGCCAAGCCAGGAAGCGTTATAATCAAATCTAAGAAAAATTCCCCTCCTCCTTTCTGAGTTTAATCGAAAAAAAACGGATAGTGAAAAGGTTTCCCGAAAAAATCTATACTAAGGACATTAAATCCTGTTATAAAATAAAACGAGTCTTCCTGTTTAATGTGTGAAAAAATACATTTACTCACTCTACTCTCCTGTTACGGCGGTGGCTCTCATAAACATAACCGTTTATGTGCTGGCTCTCTAATGGTTTCAACTCTCTTACTCTCACACAATCTCATCACTCACTCACTCTCCCTTTTTTTCGGTGGTTTCTAAAAATACCCTTATAACAACAACAATGAGCATTAGAAAAAAACAACAAAAGTGATTATGTATGTGTGTTTGTGAGTGCGTACGTGCGTGTATAAAAGAATAACACATGAAAAAGAAACATAAAAATAATAAAAATGAAAGAAAGAAGAAATGTGTGCAGCCGCCACATAAAACTATAAGCCAAACTCACTCTTCTATCTGTGTTAAATGCTTCTCCCTCCAAATGGGATAAAGGGGAATTTTGATAATTTTCCTCAGTGTCAATTACCTGTTACAAGAAATCCCACCATAACGACAACAACAACAACAAGGAACCGAAAATGAATAGAAATGTTATAAAGAAAGATAAATAATCACTCAAAACAACGAACGAAGTGCTTAACAAATTTAACCGCTTTTTTCTATGGGATTTCTGGTTGGCATACATACGTGTGTGTAAATGTGACCATGTGTTTGTTTGTAAAATGCATTCGTCAAATAAAACATTGTTATCATTGTTGTTATTGTGTTGATAAAAAAGAAAGCCATAAACAATAACATTAGAAACGAAAGAAAAAATCAACATTGAATTGAGTAATCGTCGTTTTCCCGCTCTTATTGTGTTTGTTATTTCTTCAAAGATTTCCAAGCATGTGTGCGAGAGCAAAGTTGTGTTTGAGAGTACCGTAATTATAACAATTCTCAATAAAAACATATAACAAGACAAAAGATATTTCTATGGATTTGAAATAAACAGCAATGGGATTACCTTTTCTAAGATATCGTGAATGCAATTAAATAAGTCAAGGTATCTATTGAATCATGACTTGAAATTCGATTAATGCAGAATATTGTCTAAAAGCAAGTTGCAGTTTTGCCGTCGGAAGAACAACATTTGTTCTTAACACATGATATGTACCTTTTTCTATGCTAGATTTAATTAACAAATAATTAATTAAAGCTGGAATTATGTTTTCTACTTAAAATAATAGATTTCAAATAGTATAAAAATAGTACATAGGTTTCCAAAAAAATATAATTATCTAGGCAGCGTATACAGTTTTGGATTATCATACGATCGATAACTCATACGTCGCGAAACATGGATTTCTTGCAATTCGTTTCCAATCGTAAAATTGAGATTTACGAGTATGTGATTTGTGTAATTTATATCTGAAGAAAATTAGAAATTACAGGGTGAGATAAAAAAAACTGCAAAAATGTCAAATTACATAATTTGTATTTTTTTTTTAATTTTATTGAATGAAACCAAATATGTCGGAAATAGCACGAATTATGCCCTTAAAACGGCCAATGAAACCGTCACACGCTGCCCGAATGTGGCTCTGCGATAGTGTGGCCCATTCCCGCCGAAGCGCTTGCTTTAGGTGATCGGCACTTTGGTATTTTTAGTGCCACCTTGCTTTCCAAAACGCTCCAGACACAATAGTCCAACGGATTGGTATCCGGAGATTTTGGTGGCAATTGTGCGCTGAAAATGAAGCGAGGAACCTCATTTTGTAACCATTGTTGGGTGGCGCGTGCTGAGTCCCGTTAGAATGTCCAAGGTCTGCGGCCAAATGTTTGCTTGCCCAAGGCTTTAATACACCCTCCAGATTATTTTCGCAATAATATTCGGCATTTATTCTGATGCCACGGTCGATTAAATCGAACGGAGAGCGGCCACAACATCACAATAGCCGGCGCTTGAGTTCTGGTGGCCAAACGAGGGTGCGCATTTTCAGCTGACCTCTTGGCAAGTAAACACGACAATTTTGTTTGTTTACAAACTGCCGGACAACGAATTTTTTCTCATCGGAGAAACCCAAATTCGGCAGTTCACCACTTTCGGCCAAGCGAAGCAACTCTTTAGCTCTTTTGAGTCTATTTTCTTTTTGTTGCGGTGTAAGTTCTTGCGCTTTTTGGAATTACAATTGCTTTACCCCGAGCTCAGCAAATTGAGCAACCTTTCTGGTTAAGCCATACATGTAAATATTTTGTAACAAGTAACATTCATAAATAAATCTTATAGCAAAGAAAAAACTTGATACATTAATGGCTAAGGAGCAATTATTGCCGGAAAGAAATCTATCGGATATTTAATTACCATTTAATAAAAGAAGCAGCCACAATAAGCGATGATTGCTGTTTTCTTTTTTCTTAAAAATGTTCTGCAATGTTGTCGAATTGCATTAATGTTATTTTCGCTTGGTGTCTATCAAGAATATAAGAAATCATTCAGGAAATAGTCTCACTTATTGCTTGTTTTTAAGGAATTTAATTTAGTTTCCATAATTTTCTCCAATCCCTAATACTCGTTCAGAAAAGTCAATCCACATTAAACTAACGCACGATTGCATATCGAAGCATACTTTTAGGCACCTATTTTTCATTTATTTCATTTCACACTCTTTGATGTACACAGACGCTCAGGCAACCATTCACCAGTGAATGAATAAGAACATCCAAGAAGAAGCTCTGTAATTTCATTGCTTCGTACCCTCCCAGAAGCCAGGCGATTTTTTCTTTTTTATTTATTAATTATTAACACTTAATAAATTTGAATTGAATTGGTTAAAAACTAGCCTACAACAATTAGATTAATTTTTTAATTTCCCTCTGATTACGTTTTGCTATCATTTTTTTCTTGGCCATCACCTTCCTTTTTGTTTTTCTCCCCTCATTCGTAAACTCTGTCGCTTTGCTTTCTGCCTTGTTTTTATCAGACATTATGCTTTCTCTGTTTTATTTGACTGGTCTGGAGCGTTTTTAGTTTCGGTGTTACCAAGCAAATCGGCAAAATGCATACTTTTGAATGTGCGCGCAGAAAAAATCCATAATTTACTCATTTCTACTTTGTTTTTTCCTATTTCTAGTGGTGTCGCCACCTCCAGCTGCACCGATTCAAGTACTGGCTGCTCAAGTGAAGATGCCTCCGAGCCAGGATCTCCATACAGCCATCATTCGAGTATAAGTGACGACCAACAGCAGCAGCAACAACAACAGAAGCAATCATCTAATACACAAAATACCAACAAAATGTCACCCCAAACAACAAATACTGGTGGTACAACAGCGTCGTCTTCCGGCGGTGGTGTTGTGCCAGCGCCTTCAACAACATCTGCAACTTTAAATGCTGCCATTAGAACAAGTAATCTGCCCGCCTCTCTTACCATTACTCCCACAAACGGCAGTGGTAACGGCAACAGGGCAAAAACTTCCGTAACTCAAATATCGAAAGTTTCAAACACTGCCAATACAAATCGATGTTCGAATTTGCCCACATTACAATGGCCATGGAGTACAACTGCCACCAGCATAGGTAACACCGTCACCACTTCATCAACTTTGCCACCGCCATCCTCATCATCATCTATTGGGACATTTTCAACGCCGGCATCCACCTCGACAACAGGTACCAACACTCACATAACACATAGCTCTATGGCCACTACAAACGTCTCAAACCTTTCCAAGAAGCGTGTTGCTTCCAACGTCAATGGCGGCGGACCCAGTGATGCCGTTGCAGCACCGAAAAAGCCTCGTTCCAATGTCAATACATCACAACAAGATAATCACCACGTCATATCAGTTGGTGGAGCCAAAAGACTGAAAGCTGCTGCAATGGAAGAGTCTCAAACCAAAATCACCGGCTACTTCAAGTCCCAAATGAAGGCACAAATGCACGCGGCCAATAGTAAAAATGCACAAAATCTACAATCTATATCCAATACTAGTGTTATGATGACAACAACAGCAACAAGTGCAAATCACCAAAATAGCACAATGACCACAAATGCATTGGCGATGAGTGCACCGGCCACAACGGCTTCCCTTAACAAATATTTTAACATACTGGCCCAACTGAAGGAGAACAATAATAAGGCACTCAGCAATAGCGCGACGAATGCTGCCCATACTGCTGCGGTTAGTACAGCACAACCAAGTACCAGCACAGCAACACCAACACCTCCACTCCAAGCCTGCTCTACACAAACCACAACCATTTCTGTAACAGCTCCTCCACCTCCCATGGCGCCAACGATATCAACTAGTTTTAGCAATACAGCCGTTACCATAACCACCACTAAGCCACAAAATATTTCGGTTGCACCCATGCCAATGCCGGCCCTTAAGAAAATCGAGCGACCAAAACCTACGAAAATTGCTCAAGTTGCACCAAATCTGAGGAAAACGCCTTCGACCAATTCGTATGGCAACCTAACAACTGCCAGTGGCAAATCGCCAGCAAAGAAACATGTTGCTATTGCACCGAGAACTCCCGAAATGAAGCAACAACAACAGCAACAGCAGCAACTAATGGCGGCCACTAAACAAGAGAATTCCAAACAGTCTCCAGTGGTCAGTGGCGCGCAGACAGCCACGCAACAGTCCAACAACACTACATCATCCAACCAACAGCCAGCTGTGCTGTTAACCGCTATAAGATTACCGCCTGGACAGCAAAACAATGCTCCAACCAACAACCAAGCAAAACAAACAGTGGTCACAAATAAAATCAACACCAGTACTGCCCAAGCGGCCGTTAATGCTGCTCCAAGTGTTTCGGTTACCGCATCATCGAGCTCAACTCCGGCACCAACCACTGCCACGGCTGCACCTGCCCCAACATTGTACCAATTGCCAGCTGTTCAGCTGCCCAATCTGGTGCAACTGCCACAACTTTTGGCAGCCAATGGGGCCAATATTATGCAACTGAATAATTTGGCCACAGCAGCAGCGGTTGCCAAGAATGTAGCAACAACAGCTGCCCCAACAGCTCCCGCTGCTGCCTCAGCCACATCGGCTCAGGCCGCACAAGCAGCAGCTCAATATTTCCTCAACGGCACTGTTTTCAAGCTGCAACAATTCACCACAGCCACAACAACAACAGCTACAGCGGCTTCAACGGGAAATGTGAATCCGTTCAATTTGTTAAGTGCCAGCGATCTACAGGAATTGTTGATCAAGCAGCAGCAACAACAACAGCAGTTACAACAACTACAGCAGCAACAGCAGCAGCAGAAAGCCACAAACACAGCCGCAGCGAGTTTTCAAGAGATTTTCCAACAACAAATAGCAGCAGCTATAGCAGCCAATCAACAGCAACAACAACAAGTTCAGCTGCAACAGTTGCAGAGGTTAGGAGCTGCTGCTAATATCCAACAGCAGCCAGTTTTTATGGCCACCCCAGCAGGTCTACTTCTCAATGCTGCCTCCCTACCGGCAATGTTGGCACAAGCAGCCGCTGCTTTGGCTGTAAATTCTCAGCAACAGCACCAGGCCCATCAACAGCAAAAGACCATAGCCTTGCCAGCTTTACAACCCATACAACAGGCTCCATTACCAGCTTTAAGTTCCATATTTGCTCCTCAACCAACCCAGCAGCAACATCAGCAAAACGAACAACAACAACATGATATGCAGCAGCAACATTTGGCTGCTCAATTGGCATTGGCGCAGCAGCAACAGTTCATCTCCGCGACCCAACCACCACCATTGTCATCAGTTACTTTGCCCACAGCCACCAATTCATCTAATTTAACGCACAACAACAGCAATAACTCAACGAACAACAACACTACCACCGTTAATATCTCGAATAACAGCATGTCCGCACAAGTAACGCCAGTCAGTGCAGCATCCGGTGCCACACAACAACAATCCACTACCACTGCCAAATTGGCCATTGTTAAGGCCAATGCATCACCGGTTGCTTTTACAACCCTCAGCTCACAACCGCCTCCGCTGGTTACCATATCGAATGCCAAACCGCGCACACATTCGCTTACCACTTCCAACTCTTCCACTGCCACTCAAAAGCCTTCAATAATGGCCAAACCCTACCAGAAGCGATCTCCAAAGGCACATGCCCAACAATTAAAATCCACGATAGGAAATACTACGAAGAATTCCAGTACGGGAAAAATAACAACTGCCAATGGGAAAATTATTGCAACTCCAACGACACCACCCCCGTTGGTGCCCACAATCACTCCCAGTGTCCAACAGCCAGTTGCTCTGACCACATTACCAGCTCCGGGCTTGAGGGCTGCGACAGCTACAAATTTATCGAAGACTTCCCAAATTCCAACACCGGCATTAGTGAGTATTGCGCCCACAAATGTTACACCAATTGCTCCGAAGCCGGTCCAAAGCATAACATGTGGCAGTGTAACTATCAGTCCGGCCACTCCATCTTCCACGTCAGGGAAAAATCTTGTCAATATTGCACCAAAAATTACAACCGCCGTGACATCAACTGCCCAAACTTTGCTGGCGTCGTCGTGTTCCTCCCTGTCGTCGCCGGCGTCATCAGCATCATCCTTTAAATACAACAGCGCTAACAATAAAACGAATTCCAACTCATATCTGACGAGCACCGTCGCCAATTGCAGCAGCAGCAACAACAACGTAGGAAAATCAAAACCCCCAATTAGCAAAACAACTGCATCCGATCTCTTTGATTTGGTTAAGAACTCAAATGGAGCAATAAGCATAACCCCAGCTGCGCCTGCCACCTCAACAAGTTGCACACAAAGCTTTAGCGCTCCTCTCAACTTCAGCACAACCACAGCAACTGCCAACACCTTTAATACGTTCAAGTCCATGTTGCCATTGGAAAGCTTCAGGAAAATTAAAGACGAGCCTATGGATGATGTGCCACCAACGCAAACAAATGCTACTTCCAATAGTAATGCCTCTTCAGTGACGGTGCCACCATCGCCGGCGTCGGAAGAAAAACCTGTAATCAATGAGACACCCACAAGTTTTAGCGGACAAATACCCACCTCGAATAATATTCTGGTCAAGGAAGAGTTAATGGCCAGTCCGACTTCAACCAAAGAGGAAGAGGATGTTACAACGTCATCTTCCTCCGATAAGCCAAGCTCTCCACAACCGAGCAATTTAAATAATGAATGTTCCTCGTCATCCTTTACATCCAATTCCAATTCAATATCGTCTGCAGCTGATCTCTCTTTAGAAGCTTCAACGCCAGCGTCGATTACGAGCAGTTCGGAGGCTCATTCGCCGGGATGTTCGATGTTGTCACCTCTCAATAGCAGCAATAACGAATTTACCTCCACCAATCCATGTTCAAACTCAAATTCGGCGGGTGATTCCAATTCCTGCGAAACAGGAGGCGGAGCTTCATCAAGAGATATGTTGAGCGAAATGGTCACATCAACGTGTATATCATCCAACTCTTCGGAGGCAAGTATTAGTGTAGCCATGCCGGACAATGAGGATGGTAAACAAGCAAGGGATGGTTTAAAAACGCCCGACAATTCTGAAGATAAACAGCGTGATTTGCCCACCCCAGAATCAGGCATTGGAGGCAGTCTGAGTAATACGGAAAGCATGGATTCTTCATCGAAATCGGAAACGTCATCTTCATCGGAACAACCGGTACCCTCGCCGACATCAACTGAGAGCCAAACGCCACCAGCTACACCAATGAACATTGATTCCAGCAGTAACAGCATGGAGGAAAGCCAAAACAATACATCTTCGTCACAATTGACCCAACAATCTGAGGATTCTTCGGAAAAATCATCCTTTGATTTTCTTAACAGTGCAACAAGCAACACGGCGACCAGCAACGCCAGTTCTGTCTTGGCGACCACAATAGACACCAAGTTGGCTGAAATCAGCTCTCCCGAATTGCCAAAATGTGCTCTATCGCCGATATTGTCACAGCCGAAGACTATTCGTTTCCCGGTCTTGGGCAAGAACAACAAACGTCAAGATGGCATATGCTATTGGGATAAATGCAATAAGAAACATGATAGCAATTCCAAGCTTTTGGATCACATGCAACAGCAGCATGTCAATTCACAGACAGGGCCGTTCTCTTGTCTCTGGGTTGGCTGCAAGGTGTACAATAAGGAGTCATGTTCACGTCGCTGGTTGGAAAGGCACGTGCTATCACATGGTGGTTCTAAGCAATTCAAATGTATTGTTGAGGGTTGCGGTTTACGTTTTGGATCTCAGGTAAGAATAAAAAATTGAAGTTTGAGTTTTGAAATGAAGCTAATTTTTGGTTTCTTCTATTTTGATTATAGCTGGCACTGCAAAAGCACATCAATAATCACTTCACTGCCACCGAAAACAAGGAAAGTACAAACAAACGAACTTCTGATCCTCCAGTACCAAAGCAATTACGTAAAAATGGCAAGAAACTACGTTACCGACGTCAACCGTTCTCTGGTAAGTTAAAGTTTGAACAAATCCTAAACACACATTTTATAACACATTATATTTTTCTTTTTTAGCACGCATGTTTGATTTCTTTGATGCTGGCATTATGGAAGGCCTACAACATCGCCTTAGACAAATTTCCACTTTAACCAATGGCTGCAATTCAATTACCTTCCAAGGTCAATGCATAATGAAACGTAAAGCATCCAGTGGCAAAACAGAATGCTACATTCAGTGGTCTCCAAGGGAAATGTAAGTTGTAGCTTTTATTTTATTTCGAATTAAAAAAGTAATTGAATTCTTAACTTTTATGTTTAGAATCTCCGATGAATGGCTGCCCGAAAGCCAGGAGGCCTATTTAAAAACGGTGAACATCAAACAAATGAAACCTGCCGAAAAGAATAAAGTTGAAAGTTTACTTATGACTGCCTACAAACTGCCGTATTCGCCTACAATATTTGAAAACGATTATGCCCTTAGTCAGCAGTATCAACGTTTGAAAAACGACAAGGATTCGTCTACCACCAACAATAACAATGGGGATGATGATGACAACGACGCAGAAGGCGATAATGGAGACGAAGAGGAAGGTGATGAAGAGGATGATGATGATGATGAAGAGGACAAGGACGATGAGGATGCAACTACCACAACCGAAACCATATCCAGTTACCAGCATGTTCTCTCGATAACCAACATTCAAATGCAACAAAGACGTAAACATCCCCGAAAACCACAAAATCGTATAATTATAACACGTTAGGTCGAAGACGCCAAATGCTGCCCCTCTTCCCAAACAAAACCAAAATAAGTATATTCTTCTCCCCTGGCAGACAAGCAGACAGACTCCCAGATTCTTCAAATACCAAGTGGTGCTGTAAAAAGAAGTATTTCCTTTTTTAGTCGTTTTATGTTAATCTTAATTTGTACATATTGCCCCTTACATATATTTTGTAAAACAATATATTAGCATAGCCTAGTTAAGTTTAAAGACCCTCCCCCCCAAAAAAAATATTTTACAACTCTAAAGACAAACGAGCAACAGTGACAAGGTATAAAAGGCTTTTTGCATCGAATAGCAAACAAGTCCGTTAAATGATATATTTGTATGTATAGTATTTCCTTGTATAGTTTAATAGGTCTTATGTGTGTGCATAAATCGATAGGCATATATCACTGCCATATGGAATGAAAACAAACAAAAAGAAAGAAAGAAATATCTTTATTCAGTAAATACGAAAAAATACTAATAATAAACACTAAACACTAGCTAGTAATAGAAGTAATATAATTTATATACAGCAACAACAACATAGTTTAGCAATACATGGTATATGTATATAACATTTACATGCGAAAGAAAACAAAAATACTAGCACTTAAAATGAGTAATCACAAAAACATTACAAAAAAAAACATCCTTTGTGTTTTTTATCTAAAATACTTCCACACGCAGTTTTTGCTTTGTACAAACTAAATTAGGCCAACAGCGGGTAAAATCTTTATAACCCACCATCCAAATGAGCGTGTTTCTTTTTTATTTCTTCTTTAATTATTCGAATTCTAGATGTTTGTAGCAATTGTTTTATTTTACATACTGTTTTTCATTTCTTTAAATTAATGATAACCTGCCTAGAAACAAAACTCCAACCATAATAAGACTTGCTTATATTTTATGTTAAATATATATATTTTTTTAATTTAGCCTAATTAAAGTAAACAAGAAAAACATATTGTATTATTAAAAAAAAAACACACACACACACACAAAAGAAAAACATTAAAATTTTTATAAATTTTTTTTTGAAAAAGAAAAACAAATTGATTTTCATTTATTTGTTTTATAAATAAATCGAGAACATTAGTTATTCAAACATACATTATGATTTAAATTCAAAAACCAAAACTTGATAAATTCCACATAACTTAAATTCTATCCTTTTTTGTTATCATTTGCTATATTATTTAAAAAAAAAGAAAAAAAAAACGGCAAAATAATGCAAAGTTCTTGTTTTGGGAGATTGCAGACAAGATTTGATGTTGAAATAGAGAAAGGAAAAAGAGAGCTCAAAAAATGATGTCGTATTTTTAGAGCGATACAGAATGAGTCCTAAAATAGAGTCTTTATCATAAAGCCAACAACATGATGTTCCGTCTAAGAATTCAACCCTTGACCAAAAAAACTGGACTGGAAAAAACAAATTATTGGAAAAAAACTCAAAACCTTTTTATGTAGTACAGCCATAGACAAATAAAGGTATAGACTAAAAAGTTGACTCATCTGTTATCTTCGAAAAAAAAGTGCTTCAATAGATGTCGTTCATGCTGCGGGATGGCTTAAGTCTATTTAATTAATTCTCTCAAAACACAAAATATCGAATATTTTTATGATTTGTTATTATTTATCAATTCTAAACAAGGCAGTGATTTATATTTCCATTACCCAATTATGTAGTGAAATACAAAAATATACAATTTAAATAGCAGAAAAATTAATAAATTGTGTTTCGAAGTCGAGTGACGACTTCACTAGCCCTGAGTGGCTGTACTGTCCCAACCATAGTTACATCTGCCGGAAGGGTAAATTATAAATCTTTTAAGTCTTTACCTTTATTTGTCTATTGTTTAGTTTTCTATTTAATGGTCAATACTTACTTTTTAGCGCTTAAAATGACAGATAAGTGATCCCAACTTTCTCCGTTGGTTGTTATTGGCGTTATCACGAAGCCAATTTGAAAGAAAACTTTCACAAACAATTTCAAGAAACGTCAAACCGCTAATGCGTTTAGAAGTTTAACCAGCCGTAAAGGAGCTTCTCATTGATTTCTTTTTTTTACTTTTTCAAAGAATACAAATGTGCCCGTATTTAAAATAGTTTTATAACTAAACGATTTTTTCAATACTTGGGTGTCAATTCTTGTTCTATAAAAATGTGAAATGAAAAAATTTATAAAGGAAACATTTGTCATTTCATATTTTCATAGAACAAGAATCCAGCCCCTAATCCTGATTATAACATCATTCGCAAGCAATTTTCTTCACAGGAACTATAAAAACTTAATGCAACACTTCATTTTATTTTAGAATACAACAGCAGTTACCCCCTCTTGATCTCTTTCATAGAGAAATTATATCATTTTTTTTTTTTGTTTAGAAAATATATGTAAATGTAAAATATAAATAAAATTTATAGTTTTAATTGGTATAATTAATTATTATAAACTCCAATGTAAATAAAAAAAAACACAGAAATTCTGCCACAACAATGCAAATATTTAAAAATATTATAAGAGAATATTCGATTTTAAGTTAATTATCAGATCTGCAAAAAAGGTTTTAAATGAAAAATAAATATTTTTATTATTCTTAAAAGCTTTTCAATCGCTAGTTTGCCTGACAATGTTAGTCAAATGGTTCTGTTTCAATACAAGAATCGGATTTTTTTTTACATTTTAATTTAGTTTTAAATTTATTGTAACAAAGAGGACAACAAATAAAATACATATTTTTTAATGAGATAATGTATTTTCTTTTTATTTTATTTTAGCATTATTACTAGTGTTTTTGTTTGCGTTTGCTTTGTGTGTTTTTGTTTTTGGTGCCTTCTCTATCTAATTAAATTGACAAACACTAACAATGATCGTACTCTACACAACACACATGACACTTGAACTCTTAAATGATAAAGCGTGTCTTACATTATTAAGGGAAATTATTTTCGACTAAAATGAGAGCAAACAAACAAAACGAGAAAAAAACAGGGAACATGATTCTCTTCATGGGAAAGATTAAAAAAAAAAACAAACAAATAGAGGAAAAACACACTGCCAAAAAGGGAAAGCAAAAGAAACATTGAAATGAAAACTTGAATATGAAAAGGAAGAAAACCAAACAACAAGAATACAAAAAAATATGACTGAATATTCTTTAACCAAAAAAAAGACAAAATAAAGCAAAAAATCATCGTAAATCGTAATGAATAAATTATCTGTAATAATTGTAAAAGTACTTTTGCATATATCATCACAATACAACACATGAAAACTTTTTACAACAAAAGAAATTTATCAGAAAAAAAAAACGTAAAACAATTATATATAAATGTCTGTGTAGTAGAACTAATTCGTAAGTATCTAAAAAAATATCTAAATATGATAAAAAATGAGATATTCAATACCATGTTCAAATTCAACAATGACTGTAATGGAAATTAACAACTTATTTGGATGTGCTTTTCTTAATATATTTATATAAATTAGTGGTAAAAAAATAATTAAATTCTTTTTGAATGTCCCTTTAGTCTCAACAAAATACAAAAAATTATTTCGAGACATAATAGCCCCTCATTTAGAACAATCTTTTGATTTCGATCACCAAAGTACACAGAGAATTGAGGTATTTTTCTTGTTTCCTAAATACAATTCGCGTTGAAATATTTTTTTTTTTTTTTTCAAAAATCCATTGCTCTGTTACTTTAAACAAAGTCACCTTTGGTACGAATTATGGCCTCCAAACGCCCAATGAAACCGTCACATGCTGCCCGAATGTTGCTTTGCGGTATTTTGGCCCATTCCCGGCAAAGCGCTTGCTTGAGGTGATCGACACTTTGGTATTTTTTAGTGCCTACCTTGCATTCCAAAATACTCCAGACACAATAGTCCAATGGATTGGTATCCGGAGATTTTGGTGGCCATTATACGCTAAAAATTAAGCGAGGAACCTCATTTTGTAACCATTTTTGGGTGGCGCGTGCTGAGTGAGATGGTGCTGAGTCCTGTTGGAATGTCCAAGGCGACCAAAATGTTTGCGTGCTCAAGGCTTTAATACACCCTCAAGAAAATTTTCGCTGAGGCCACGGTCGATTAATTTCGAGCGGGAGCGACCATCGGCTGTTATGGCGCCCACACCATAACCATGGCTGGCGATTGAGTTCTGATGGCCAACCGAAGGTGCACATTTTCAGCTGACCTCTTCGGCAAGTAAACACCAGTGGATAATTTTGTTTGTTTACAAACTGCTGGACAACAAATGTTTTCTCATCGAAGAAAACCAAATTCGGCAGTTCACCACTTTCCGCCAAGCGAAGCAACTCTTTAGCTCTTTTGAGTCTATTTTCTTTCAATTGCGGTGTAAGTTCTTGCACTTTTTGGAATTTCAATGGCTTTACCCCGAGCTCTTTTTTTCAATATTTGCCGAATGGAATAATTTTAACAGCTGTCGGACGAGTGGCTTAGAAATGACAGGAGTCTGAAATTGGTTGCAGTTTTTTTCATCTCACCCTGTACGCATTTGTTTCGAACGTTTTTGTACTATCGGCTTTTCAAGGTACACAGCACAATCAATATATTTATACAGGCAGGACTTTTTTGCGAAACCGTAAACTCGGTGTAACTTATTCTTCCTACAAATATGCTCTCGAAATCATTTTACTTTTTTTTATTGAAAAAATAAAAAGGTTTTTGAAATAAACAACCAATTAAGGGTTTATTTCTATTACAGTTCTTAACATGAATCTAAAACACTTGGATAAGAAAAAATGTAGCGCACACCATGGAAAAAATATAAAGCCTTCGGTTTTTGAACAATCAGTAGCGGTCTTTCAAAAATCGATAGAAGCTAAAACCCCCTTACAATCAATTTAAGCAATTCCTTTTTTAATTTTCAAACATTTTTTGTGACAAGATCATTACCGAACAAAAAGCAATTTTTACTTTTATATAATATTTGATTGATCAAAACACATCTGAATAAGGTAAATATTAGATATACAACTACTTTTGTAAATTGCCTAAATGTTTGTGTGGATAAAGAGAACCCCCAAAGAAATCAAATATTTTAACTTCTTATTTAAAACATTTTTAAAAACTAAATCAAAATAAACCCCTTCTTTTTATAGAAGTGTCCCACACCAAACCTCTACTCCCGCTATACCTATTTCTCATCTAAAAGCACAAGCAAAACCTTATCTAGACATAAAAGACATCCCATATAGACAGTGTTTATATTGAAAAAATAAAAATGCATAGTTTTTATTTTTAATATATAATAAAAAAAATAAAAGATCTAAGAACTACCTCAAGAACAAATTTTGCAACAACACAACACATAGACATAGAAAACAAGTTCAAAAGACAAACCCCAAGAACACAAACGACAACATGGAAATATAAGAAATTTTAATAGAATTTACAAAGACTACAATCGAAACCAAAAGATTCCAACGTTTAGGTATTTTTTCACGAGAAAAAATAAGAAAATTAACGCTATTTCGGAAAAACACATGTATTCACTTTTTTTCTTTGAATACAAAGATAAGGCCCACATACAAAAATTTCTTTTCCAACTTTCCTTTACCCCAGGACGTTTCCCATTATGTCTTTCCATACTTTATGGTCATACCGCCAATATTTCATTAAACTACCATAACCCCAAATTGTAGAAAGTGTATTAATCATAGTTTTAAATTTAAGAACTAAAAAAAAGAAAATAAAAACACAACTCGACATATTCTTATATAATAACAACAAAAGAACTACTTGATTTAATAACAACAATAATAATTATAATAAATATGTGTATGTAGTAATAATCAATCCAATACCCACGAAAACAAAAGAAACTACAATTTCCCCATAATAAACGGTATTTAAAAAGAAATTTTGTGTTGTATTTATTTGTTTAATACACATCCATGGTGTATACAACTGTAGCAAAGTTTTAAGGGTAAGTATGTTAAAATAATTATTAGCAATGGCATCCTGGGCCCTAATCCTCGCATTCAATAGCGAACAAAAAGTTCGAACAATTGGGGTTTGATTCCCTTGTTATTTTTCATTTTCATCAAACAAAAATGCATATATGCAAATTAATTTTTACTCGAAACATTCCAATATCAAATCCCAAACTTACATATCTGGTTATTCAGAACAGTCTAAATTAAATAATTGAAAGAACTTTCCTTATGTCATTCCATTTCAAATGAAAGTTGGAGGCTGCCTTTGGCTTGCATTCTAGTCTGATTCTATTCAGAAATGCCTGAGCAACGCATTCATCTGACAGATGCATTAATTCTATTCATTCATACCCTTTTGAACGTAATAAAAAGGCATATCACCTTTTGTAGACAAATGGTATTGACTAGTCAATACCATTTTTGGCTATTAAATTAACTAAGATTGAACCAACTTATTTCATTAATTTCTATGTCATTTTGTTTTCATTTATTATATATTTTATTTTTATTTGTATACATTCTTAACATTCTTATGCTAATTATGTTAGTTAGTTAATTTTGGTAAACAGATTATTTTTTTATAATTACAAGTACGGATAATTTAATTAGGTTTATTCGCGATAGCTAAGCTTATTGATACTGTCCCTGACTGCCCTGTGGTTGGCCAAAACCAGCTGCGCCTAACACACTTGGATCTTCGGTCGGAGGTAAGGGATTTCGGAATTGTTCGGATGAAAGTCTTGTGAAAAGAATGCCGACACCTTCGATAAGGGCCAATAGAACACCGCCAATTATAGCACTGCCTGCCATGGCGGGAACACCATTTCTCGCCGCCAATATTCCTCCTGTGGCTGCCCCACTTATGATCGAATTCCAGGGGTCTTCCTTCTTTCGGAAATGTACTAGTGTGCAGTCGATTGTGCTGAACATACCGCCCCACACAGCAAAGTTACCAGCAATGACAGGTGAACGAGTTTTGATGGCCGACAGACTGCCCAGCATTCTGCGACTCATGCCGGAGGGAGCATTGCGGAAACCTTTGATAGCTTGGAATACACCACCTCCTATACAACCCATAGCAAAAGCACCACCACAATCATCAACTATCCGGAATGGGCAAGGTTCTCTGGCGTACTCCTCCATTGCTTATGTGTGTTGTGCTGTAATGAAATTTAGGTTTCCAATTAGAAATACACTTGAAATAAACAAAAATAAATTTAAAAAATCAATATTTGTCAAATGTTGGCAGGTTATAATCCTAAATTGATTTGTGGGGGGAATTCCGTCTTTTATCTATATTATTTACGTTTCCATGTGGGCTATATTATAAAACAATTGCTTCCGCAACCCACCCTTGGTAACAAATATTAGAATACACATTAATTTCGACAGAAATTGATAATATTTCATCATTTCACTTTCAAAACTCATTCTCCAAATGTACTTTTTTTTACAAAGACCACATTTTTCATTCCAGAACGTACAAACGGCATTCAATAGATCAAAAAATACAAAACCGGACGGACACCCCTTTGCTCTTTGTTACATAATGATTTACAACAAAACATCACTGATTTCCAAAATACATAATGGAGTTTTAAATACTATAATGTACTCGCGTATATAGTTAATACAAAAATTAGATATTTACTTTTTTTAAGAATTACTTAATTATTTTATTTTACACAATAAGCACGCTTAGCTTGCTGTTGGGTATGCTGCAAACCAGATTTCAAAGGACCTAATAAGAACTTTGACGCCGTTGAAATGAGACATAGCAAAGTTCAAAGTAGACTTACGTGTCCCTATCGAATGATTTGCTAATCTTTCACTTGAAATATAATTTTGAAAAAAGATATAATATGCACTTATTAGTGCATTTTAATGCCCTTTCTTGTTTATTGATTAAAATGTACGATCCAGAACTTGCAATTACTACGAAATAATATACATGCTATTTATTGTGTGCTCTCAATAATTTTCGGGAACCCATTTTCCTGTGAATGTCGACCTTCCTTCTTCTTTTTCCTGTTGTTGAAAAAATAGAACCAACGTGCCCGTATCGTGCCACAAAATAAAAGGATTGCAAGCATTTTCTGAATTAACTGGATATATATAGGTAATAAAACCACAATGTCGTTTGCGGCTAGACTCCTGCGACTCACCACCAGCAATGCCAATGTTTTACAACGTTATGCAATCAAATCCAACGGTTATCACAGAACCATTGCCGCTGCACCCCAGACCATAAACTTCAATAAACGTTACATGTGTTCTGAGCCTTCTACTGCTCAAAAGGTCCGTCAAACTGAAAAGACTATTGGTACTGCAGACAAACATGAATTTCAGGCTGAAACCCGAATGCTCCTGGATATTGTGGCACGCTCATTGTATTCCGAAAATGAAGTTTTTGTTAGAGAGTTAATTTCTAACGCTAGTGATGCTTTGGAAAAGTTTCGATACACGATTCATACAGCCGGCGAAACAGAAAAAGATTATGAGGGCACAGATCGTTCTATGGAAATAAGAATTGCCACCGATAAGACAAACAGGCAATTGATCATCCAAGATACTGGTATTGGTATGACAAAGGAGGAGCTTATTAATAATTTGGGAACAATCGCTCGCAGTGGTTCAAAGAAATTTCTGGAGCAAATTCGTGAGAAGGGCACAACGGCTGAAAACTCCTCAAACATTATTGGCCAATTCGGTGTGGGATTCTATTCTGCCTTTATGGTGGCTGACAAAGTTGAGGTATTCACACGGTCATCTAAATTAAATTCTCCCGGTCTTTGCTGGTCCAGCGACGGTTCTGGTAGCTATGAAATTCAGGAGGCTGAGGGTGTAGAGTTGGGCACAAAAATAGTAATTCATCTCAAGCCAGAATGCCGGGAATATGCTGATGAGGATCGTATAATGGCTGTAATAAAGAAATACAGCAACTTTGTAGGTTCTCCAATATTGTTAAACGGTCAGAAGGCAAATGATATTCAACCTGTGTGGTTGATGGAGCCGAAAGATGTTACAAAAGAACAACACGACGAATTTTACCGCTTCATTGGAAATACTTTTGACACACCCCGTTTCATTTTACATTACAAGGTATGTGTTATTATTTTGAGGTAGATGTAAGTAAAGATTAATAGACATTCATGCGTATTTATAGACCGATGTACCCCTAAGCATCAGGGCTTTATTGTACTTCCCCGAAGGTAAACCGGGTTTATTTGAAATGACTCGCGACGGTTCTGCTGGTGTTTCCCTGTACACACGTAAAATACTCATTCAATCAAAAACCGAAAATTTAGTACCAAAGTGGCTAAGATTTGTCAAAGGTGTTGTCGATTCCGAAGATATTCCTCTCAATCTGAGCAGAGAGCTTCTTCAAAATGGAGCTCTTATAAAGTAAGGGATCAATTTAATACACATTTGTCAGATGTTTTATTAAACTCCTATTTTGTAGAAAACTTTCAAGCGTACTGACCACCAGAATTATACGGTTCCTCATTGAAAGATCGAATAAGCAACCCGCCGAATACGAAGCTTTCTACAAAGATTATGGACTATTTCTTAAAGAGGGTATTGTAACTTCGTATGATCAGAATGAAAAAGAAGACATCGCCAAGTTGTTGCGTTTTGAATCTTCGAAATGCAAGGAAGGACAACGCATTTCGCTGGAAGAATATACCAAAAATGTTGGTGAACAAAAAGACATTTACTACTTGGCTGCACCAAACCGTGTTCTAGCCGAATCTTCTCCTTACTTTGAGAATTTAAAGAAACGTGATATTGAAGTTCTGTTTTGTTATGAACCATATGACGAGCTTGTACTCATGCAATTGGGAATGTTCAAAAGCAAAAATCTAGTCTCCGTGGAAAAAGAAATGAGAAATGATAGTGGTGCCGAGGCAACAATTGAATATGGTGAGGATAGTTTACTAAGATCTCAAGTTGACGAACTTTTGCCATGGATCAAGGACAAGCTGAAAGGAAAGGTGGCAAATGTAAAAGTTACCACAAGGCTGGATAGCCATCCATGCGTAGTCACCGTAGAAGAAATGGCAGCAGCACGCCACTTTATCAAAACTCAAAGTCATCAATTGCCCGAGGAGAATCGTTATGCCTTACTACAGCCTCAGCTGGAAATTAATCCAAAGTAATTAATATTTGTTATCATTTTTACTCGGCAGTGTACAAATGTTTTTCTTTTTCTATTCTTTAGGCATGAAATCGTGAAGAAATTATTTGCACTAAAATCCAGCGATCAGGAACTAGCCGAATTGTTGGTTCAACAATTATTTATAAATGCCATGGTAGGCGCTGGACTGGCAGAAGATCCCCGTACACTTTTGACAACAATGAACGCCCTGCTAACCAAAGCTTTGGAAAAATGTTAAATTTATGTTTAATTTGTTGTTAGTTTATAGTAAATAAATAGCTACATCTAAGTAATGAACGTGTTTAGATTTCTAATTATAACAGAAAATAAAGACAAACTGGTTTTTCGATAATGTTAGCGTCATTTATTGTAGAACCGTATCACGATACTCTTATCAGTTTATATTTCTTATCTAAGCACATGATACTTGTTTATCTGTGAAAATTATCACATTGTTGATATTATATTAGAATACAATATTACAGCGGCCAAAAGTGTGCAAATCATTTATGAAGACGGTAAAATAAAGTAAAAAACTGAGATTCTATGAAAAAATTCATTTGAAACTCCGTTCTTTTAAAATAACAAAGTTATAATCTAAAATAATTTATTGTTCCTTTAAACGTTTCTTTTGTTATTACATTAAATGTTAGCATTTTTAGTGACGAATTCAATTAAATAAATAATTTACTCTAACAACCAAAGGAAAATGGCTAAATGATAGCCATAGCAAAAAATGCAACGCTTTTCATAACTGATCGAACGATTCTCATTTTCGAGAAATAATAATTAATTAAGGTTTTTTCAATGTTGAATTAAACCTCGATTTGTATGTTCAACGACTAAAGTTTGCTCTAAAAACTCTTACCATGAGACCATGCCATGAGACCTAACGTCTAAATACAAATGTTATCTGTTGAAATTTTCGGCATACTTCTAATGCCCTGAGCTTCATAATTGAATACATATACAGCAATGCTACTTCTGCTTCTCTTTGGTTTTCTTTGTGAGGTCATATGACACACATTATATACCTCTGAACTAGAGACTCTTATGACGATGGAAGCATTGAAGAAAATTTGAGATAACATGATACCAACAATACATCGCTTTGGTAAACATATGTTTGTACTTATGTGTTGAACTGATAATAGAAAACGTAAATAACTTTTATTATTTTTTTGCTTTTTCTACTAATTTTGAGGTTTATTTATTGTATTTATATCAACACGTGATTGCCTATAAAACAAGGGGTCTCGGGATTACATTTTTATAAAATGTCGTAAAATATTTCCACCTATAATACACATGAATTTTCAAAAAGCCATTAAAACAGTTTTTTCTTAATTTTATTAAATAATTAAACGAATTCAATTAATATAATAAAAACATATTTTAAGAAATCACAGTTTCGCAAATTATTAAACATCTCTTAAAAATATTTAATAAAATCAGATATTTTGGGTCCCCCATGAGACGGTTTTCGACTGCTGGGTAAAAATTGTGGGTACAAAAAACCATGGGTGTATTTCTCCTATGACTCCCGAACCAATTGAAACAACTTATATGATTTCTTTTTCATTTAATTATATCTTTGTTCTGTTCTAAGATTTAATATCGGTAGAACAAGGTCTAACTCTAGTTTTTAAATATTAGGTTCTGTTCCAAATTAGGAAAATAAAAAACCACAATAATACGTATCCCTAATATTATTTAAAAATTCATATATATTATTTACAAAATTGTAAAAATAAGAAATTAAAGCGTAAGGGATATAGAATTCCACTTTATTTTACGAAGCCCGAGCTCAAATTATGTAAGACTAAACCCTAAAAACGTTATCACGTTATCTTTCGAACGATTGTCAATAGGCTTGCCAAGTTCATAAACGGGTCATGTAGGTCCATGTTTACGTTAATCTCCATGTAAAGTTTCACGAAAAAAAATCCCTCTGCCATAAGAAACAACTTATATGAAAGAGATTTCTTCTACATCGTCTACAAATTTTTAAACCAAAGACAAAAGCATAAATTAATTTTTATAGTATAAATATAATATAAACATACTATAAGTGCGCTATATAAATTTATATATAGTTTATATAATATAGAATTTTTTAAGTATATCCACAATGGAATTGCCCAGACTCTGAGAATATCTTTAAAAGATTGCAAGGGAAGTTTTTTTATTTAAAAAAGACTAAAAATTCTAATTACAGAACTAAGATTGACAAGGATTGTTAATGGATCGGGGCTATTAATTTATATCCAATCCAATATCTATCTAAGTATATAGTTGGTGTATAATTTGAAAAGGGTGAGGAAGGTCTTTAGCAAATCATTTTGCAGCTAGCTTAAAGGCCAGTGAGTCCAAATTAGCTTGTCGAAACCCACTGGCTAGTATATTTCTTTATAAAGGTATTCTTTAGTTCTCGTATCTAAGGACTCGTTAGTTCGCCCACACCTACTCCATGTTTGGTAGAGATTTTTTGTATATGCGAACTATTTCCCTACATGTGTATTTAATATTAAAAATAACTAAACTTAAGTTTAATGTAAATAGGTATTATCTTCAAATACACAAATTAAAAGCAAAAACAATCTATAATAAATATTTTTTAGTTATTTATTTTTATTTTTACTTATTATATTTCTTATCAGAATGTATGGAACAGCGCTAACAAAGTTATCATTCCACCGTAACTACCAGAGTTATAATTTCACTGTGATTTAGAGAATCCGACTATAGGTATCTGTAGTCTGTCTTATCGATTTTCGATTGGGCATATGACTTAAATCATATGACTTTGACTGCAAATCAACATACGGAATTGACTTTTGAAATGATATGAATTCGGAAAGTCAGTCGCAAACTCAAACGCAAAGCAACTCCTCGCCAGTTACCAATAATAACCGAAGAAGGCCAAAAGCTTTTAAAACAACCAAAAAACAAATTCTTTTCTTAGTCAAGTGAGTTTGTAATAAAAAAAATAATAAAAGTGAACACAAATATAATAAATACATAAGCACAAAACAAAATGGATAAACGAAAGAATTGGAAATTAGACACAAGTTTAACGAAACAATTGCGCTGCCACATCAAACTCAAACCACCAACAGGAGAAATTGTGAATTTAAGGATAATACTTACGGGATTTTTTTGAATACATGAAATAAATTTATAAGAATTGTGGAAATTTTTTAAACTTGAAGTTTCCATAAAAACTACTATCTCTCTGAGCATTGGGCATTCTCAGTCATCGCTCTCCTACAATTGATACAATGTTGCCATACTGTTTTGCGGAGACATGAGAAACCAAAGTTAACGTCATGGATATTTTATGGATTTATTAAAATTTGATTTAAACAAATTGATGCATTATTTAGATCATTTAGAATAATTGGAAAATAATCTAAAATATATATGACAAAAAACAGATTTTAGATGCTGATGAATCCACTTTTAATTGTACGTCAATTTATATCTTATCAGAAGAGAGGAAAAGCAACACGCAAACAGTCGTCCCAAATCTTGTTGGTGTGTGAGTGAATGAATGACAACGTCACATTTTCATGTGTGGTCGTCGATTTAAGTAAAAAACAGTCGTTTGGCAACCGTCGAAGAGAATACTCGCAGCTACTCCTCTGAAAGTAAAGGCGCAATTGTTTTGTGTGAAGTGCAAATTCATAAAACCAAGCAAATAAAAGTAAAGACAAAAGAAAAAAAGAAAGCTCTTCATTTGCCAATATAAAAGAAGAACCAAATAAGCTATCGTATAAGCGAATTACACAAGTAAATACAAGTTTAAAACAAAAATTCAATTTTCTTTGTAGAAACTCCTTAATTTAAACACATTAAAATGGCCGATTCCGATAATCCAATCTACGGACCCTTCTTCGGTGTTATGGGAGCCGCCTCAGCTATCATCTTCAGTGGTGAGTAATCATTTACAACAATACATGCATCCAACATCATCCATCCAGCTCGATTCGAATGACACATAGTAATTTCTCCGTTAAACAAAGCTTTGTAATCGATAAAAATGAAAAATTCCTATTCAAAGAAGGAATGTCTGGGGATTTTTTGTGAACAAATAGAAAAAATAGATATATATGTAGGTGTAACTACGGTTGGGGGAAAATCGAATCGGGTATCTTGGCAGATACAGCCACTAAATAGAGGATTTTCTTTGAAGAAAAAAATGTAAAGAGAATGAGAGAGACAATGAAAAGTGAAAAAATTCAATACATACGCATATTTACGAATTACGGCCACTGCGAAAAGAACGAATAAATGAAATTGGAAAGTATGAAAAATGTGCAAACGTACAAAGGAAGAATAACTAAACGAAAAACAAAAGAAAATTATATTCTGAAAAATTAACAATTCCTTAAATTACAATTATCCCATTATGAATGTTCTTGTCAACGCGATTTCTCTTCTAATTTCTTCTATGGTAGATAGAAATGGGAGAGGAAGAGAGAGAGAGAGAAAATAAGGTTTACGTGTTTCAACAAATTTTGTAGGTTAAGTCAACCTTCATATTTATGTGTAGAAAGAATGTTTTACTTGTCAAGTCACAAGACTTGGCTTACAATGGAGTTGCCACTTGACCAAAAACTTGGTCATTGTATGTATATAGATAACATCATATCAAGAAGTTTCATGTGAACTCTGCAAATATAAATCACATGCCTCTACCTGCCGTATTTTTTTCTGCTTCAATTACTCCTCTTGGTGTTCCTAATCACATGCTTGCTTGTGTGTAAAAGAATTTAATTTTGTTGATAAGATAAAAACTGCCGCAGTTGTGTTCTAAAAAATGAACATCGTTGTATGCAAGCTCCTTACAGTTATAGGGGTGGGGAGATCACGTTTCTTTATCGCTCTTCTGTACAGACTTCGTCCCTTATTGTATACTTTCTTTTGTTTTACAAGCTGATTCCCAATTGCACTTACACGTACTGCAATTATTTATGGGGCGTGCATCATCAACTTGCAATTGAGTTATGTTTTAATTGGCTCTTTCAATAATTGATTTATTCCCTTGTAATATAACTATATTTTAATACCCACATCATGTTTTACATTCCTTTTTCATCTGCCTTTTAATGGCATGATGTGCGCAAACTCCTTTTTCGTCTTGTATTACCAAAGGAATAAGGAAAAAAAGGTCGACCATCATTTTTATGTGTACATAACTATGTACATGTAGATATATAAATATGTACATATATATGTACCATTTTACTAAAAATATACTGGTATACTCGAGAAAATGATGATGCGTAAGATGGAACACTAAAAAGGTCAATGTGGAACATAGTTAAAATAAAAGCATTGATAACATCTCCCACATAACTACCATAATAATTATCAATGAACCAAAAAAACAGAATACCGTTTATTTATTATGGGTATAAACTTAAAAATAACACAAATTTTGTATAAATAACTCAAAGAAAATCGTAATCAATAACTTTCATTTTGTTTAAACAAAAACAGGTGGCCACAATTTCGTTTTGTGCATGACACAGTCGTTTTTTGAATTATTTCATTCTACCTCATTCTTTGTTATGCATTTTGCTTTGCAGTAATTATTCATTCAAGTACAAATATGTTAGTAATAATAAATAAAATACACATAGTGTAAGAAGAGAAGCTAGTTACGGTTAATCACATGACTGATTTTTACGGCGTTAGCGTTGTGGTTGTTGTTGGTTGCCTTACCTTCAACAACAACCAGAAAACCTCTACTCCATTTTGGGCCTTTATTTCGTAGAGAGCATCGTTGACATCGGCCAATTTGAAGAGCGCCTCTTTCTCTCAATTGACAAACAAAAATAACAATTTTAATTTTAATTCATTGCAATTAAAACTGGTTTTCAGTTTTATTGATTTATACGTTTGATGATTTTGGTATTATTCCATTCCATATGTACCCCGCACTTCCCTCTCCTGCCATAAAAAAATTACTATGAAGATAACTGTTTTCTTATATTCATATTTCTTATCATAATATGCTAGGCATGTTTGCACTTCCACCCAGCTATAGTAGTCATGTGTTAACGTTTTTTTTTTTGTCAAAGCAACTCCCCTTGAGAATTCCCCTGACACCGCATACAACACACTGTCTGGCAATATTGTTTAAGTTGTCAGTGTGTTGTTGTTGTTTTGCTGAAAATATGGTTGATATTAAAGTCGTTATCACTCTCTTTCACAATGGGGGAGAGCGTAACTGTAGGAAATAAAAGCTTTTTCAAAAATTATTTATGGATATCAAGCTTTTTGAAGTATCACATGACCAGCGTAAAAACAATGAAGTTAACGAAATTAATATAATGAATTAAGCAGCAGCATTATTGCCATGCCAGTTCTTCAGTCAATTTTGCTAATTGATCGTGGGCACTGATTTTTTTTGCATGACTTTATGGAATTGATTTTGATTTTTTGAGGAATGAACTCAAAACGCACTTGTTATAGGTACTGATAATCAAGATCATTACCCTATCTTGATTTACAAAAAAACATTTAAATTCAATTTTCAAATTTCAAACTGGTTTCGATTTTTGTGGTAATTATGGTAAAAGAAAATGGAGCCATTCAGTTCCAAAAAATGTTCTTTTACATCTTAGTTTAAGGGAATTTAGGCATTTATTTTGGTGGAAAATGTAGACAAAATCATAGGGATTTATTTTGGTGGAAAATATGGACAAGATCACCATAATGACCGGTAAATTTAATAAATTTAATATTTATTATTTCTTTTTTTAATGGAGAAGTTATTTGAGTTATGGTAATTGGTATCCTCTTATTGCATCACTCCCACTTTAAATACTTAAAAATATTAATACTAAAATATACCCCACTTATATTTTCTAGCTTTGGGAGCTGCCTATGGTACAGCTAAGTCAGGTACTGGTATCGCTGCTATGTCAGTGATGAGACCAGAATTGATCATGAAATCCATTATTCCCGTTGTCATGGCTGGTATTATTGCCATTTACGGTTTGGTCGTAGCTGTCCTTATTGCTGGTGCTTTGGATGAACCCTCAAAATACTCCCTTTACAAGTAAGTAGAACTCCGCTTCGTCCGCTTCATTGAAAAAAGCTCTTGATATTTGTGGACCCATGTCAACAAAATTATAATTTTTTCGTTTTCTCATTTTCACAGGGGTTTCATCCATTTGGGTGCTGGTTTGGCTGTAGGTTTCTCAGGCTTAGCGGCAGGTTTTGCGATCGGTATTGTTGGTGATGCCGGTGTCAGAGGTACAGCTCAACAACCTCGTCTCTTCGTCGGTATGATTTTGATTCTCATTTTCGCTGAAGTATTGGGTCTGTACGGTCTCATTGTTGCCATTTACTTGTACACCAAATAAATTATTCAATGCTGCAACAATAACAATAAGAACAACAAACACAACAACCATAATAAAAAGCAACCATCAAGAAAACAATCATCTTCTTCGTTATATCGATATTCTGATATAGAAACGCAACAACCTGTTCAAAAGCAAAACCAACATCGTCAACCAGCAGCAGCAACAACAACAGTGTCAAATAGCAACAGTGCAACACAATCGCCACCACCACTACCATCATCATCAAATCAATTACTGATCATTCGAATGTCAGTAATTGCAAGAAGATATCATCAAAGTCGTCGCCTCTGCTGCCGCCTCCAACCGTTCTCTCAATACTGCCGATGAAAGTGTACAAGATTCCAAATGTATAACAAAGGTATACAACCAACAGCACACCAAGTATGGGTATTGAGAAAACAGACAGGTTTGCATTTTAACGTGTAAAAGAACAAAGAACACAGTGTTAGTAGTTTGAATGAAATCAATCAAGTATTTGTACAAATTATAGCGAAAAGAATCAATCGTTCATTCAACCAATCCCAAAATGTTTTATTTAATCAAAACACAAAAACAACTACCATCACTTCTATCTATCCTATCATCATCTTGTGGTGTGAATCTAATCAATGCAATTTGTATATATAGAATAGATTGTATTGGTTCGAGTTGAAAGTATGTACCCGCTAACATTGTCTGAAAACCTCCGAGACGGCGGCGACGCTGGCAAGCAACAATAATTGTTGTTGATATGTTGTTGCAGTTTTTCAATAGGGAATCTTAGATAGATTGTTTTTCATTATTGGCCTGTTTTTTATTTCATTATTAAAAAAATCTATATTTTTAATTATTAGTTTCGTTTATTTTTTGCGTTATCTTATGTTATTGTTTTTATTGTTTTATTTTTTTTTCGTAATTCATAATTTAATTGTAAAAATCTACACAAGTGACACACACATACATTTGTTCGTTTGTTAATTGTTTAGAAACAAAATTTCTGTGAACATTTTTTCTTCAATTTGTTTTGTTTCGCCCGCCTATCGAAATTTTTGCAGAAACACACCTTCACACAAACACACATAACTATTAAATATAATATTCAAATAATGTAATTTAAACAAATTGAAACAACAAAACAAGCAACAACAAACCATTTCATCATACTATAAATACTTAATGTTAAAGAAATTTAGTGAGAAAACCACCAGTATAAAACAACAACAACAACAATAATAATAATATACTTAATGAACAACCATCATATTAATAATAATAATAACAACAACAACAAAAGAAAACGACAAAGAGAGAAACCAAAATCAAAGACACCGCAAAAGGGAGTTATCCAGAAGGGGACACTTAAGAACAACAACAACCAAGAAATGCCATCATTCGCGTTCTTATCCCGAATCCAACTACTCATCTCCCCGTTACAGGGGATTAATAATGGGGTAGCTGGAAGGGGATAAGAGCTGAGGATTATAAAAAGTGCCCTTTTGTGCGCATTAGAAAGAGATAAATTAGGTTTTAGTTAAATATTTTAAACAAATAAAAGTTTAGACTGTTATATTACAATTAACAAAAAGTATTCTTTTTTAAGGAACTTACACACACACACATACACACACCTCAATATGTATATGTGAAAAGAACACACACAACAACAATCATCATATATACCTATACAAACATCGAGCGTGCGAATACATAGATTTTTATTTCGAAAAAATATTTAATTGAAACCTAGACTCATATGTTCTATGATCAGCAGTCTGTTGGCAAATTTTGATTTTTTAAAATTGAAGACAAGCTGCTAATCATTCCTGCATATACACACAACCAATCAACCAACCAACAACAACCATTTATATACTACGAATAAGTCCTATATTTTTATGTTTAATTATTGTTCAATTCTAAGAATAATATATTGACTATAATGAATAATTATATGATTATTTTCATTTTGTGATAAGCTATAAACAAAAAAAAAACTTATGGTATTTATATTATATATTTATATATATTCAGAATACATATTTAAAACATATGCATATATAACGAAATGAATTGAAAGAGAACCCGGATGGTTAACAGCAGATCATTGACCGTTCGATCGATCGGTCGATTGATCGTTAACTTTCCTATGATTTTTCTTTCAAATGTTTAACCACCACCAATCACAAACTCCATTTGATTTTTCTTTGTTATTGTATAGATATGCAACTAAACTAAAAGATATAATAATGAAACAAATTATATATGTATATGTATTATGTATAATGTAATGTACAATTCATAACAAACAAACAAAAAAGTAACAACAAATTGTAGTAGCAAATTATATAATTATAATATAAAACTAAAGAAAAATGTTATGTAGCGCGAGAGAAGAATGTGAAACAAGAGAGAAAAGAAACCACAACAACAAAAAAACGAAAAAATCCTTTACAAAAAAATCGTAAAAATACCCCCGCAACACACACACACACTCAAATATTAATTAGAAATTATTATTTATCTAGAAATACAAGGGCAGTAAACGTTTTCCTTGTCCCTGGTGCCAGTACCGGTAAACATGTGTGGAAAAATGCAACAGAATATTCTTCCGAGGGCCCTTGTTCGCCAAGACATTTGTGATGCTGAAAATGTGGAGGTGTTCAAGCTGCCATTATCTTGGGAGTATAGACTTAATTTTACCAACTGTTTGCCACACTTGCTCCGGCACAAGGAAAATGTTTAATGTTATCCAATTATTTTTAACAAAAAGCCTATCTTCCATCATTTTCGAGGCATTTTTTAAGAGCGAGAAATACATTACAATAAATTGCTGTAAGATCTAAAAGCAAACTCAAACTGAAATATAAAAGAGAATGTAATAAAATTGTAATTTCTAATTTCCAACAAAAAAAAACTTGTTGTTTTATTGTTTTAATGATGAGAAACATGTGTCATAGAAAGGTTAAGAGTAGCATGAGATAGGGATTTAAAAACAACAAAGGATTTTTTGACAATGTCTAGTTGGGTTGATACTTACAATTAACAAGCGTATAAGGTGGATAATTTGGTGTAAAGTTGTTTGATTATAGCAGGAAATGGGAACAATTAAAAGGGGACAATCTAATAACCATCAAGAGGAATTTTGACATAGCACATTGTCCAATATATAAAATTATGGATTCTATGAAATTTGCCGAGGTACAAATTGATGAATGTCTTCTTCACTTAGACTCGCAGAAATTGAAATATGAAATGGGACTGTGTAGCTCAGATAAGTTAGCAAAAAGGTAAATATATTTAATGGTCTGATGTATTGAGAACTCTCTTGCCAAATGACGCCCTGCAAAAGGCCACCCTTCTTACCATTCTACTGTTTGTCTGATAATATAAATGATGGTATGCATGCAGTACTAAACTATTTCTTCTTTCTTTTGTTATGTTTTGTTATAAATTTATTTAAAAAAAATGTATGTAAAAATATGATAACAGTAAATGCAGAGAATAAAGCTCAAGAACAGCTTTTCATTTTGATGGTACTTTAACGAAATACTCATCATCCACAATTGTAAATTGGTATTCGCGATAGGTTTCCAGTTCATAGATGTATTTCTTGGAGCAGTCCTTCATAATTTTAGCAATGACCGGCTTCACATTGTGGCCCGCAACTGCGGCAAGCTCTTTGTAATAATCGAACTGAAACAATAGATAGAGGTTTAGTTTTAAATTATAAACTATGGAATGTGCTGTTGCTATGTCGCACTGACCTGTTTTTCACCCATTTGATGAGCATCTCTCTCGGACAGACCCCGTTCTTTTCTTTCCTTCATATCACGGCGAAGTTCTTCCATCATTTCCTCTGTCGAAGGCAGCTCTTTTTCATTGACAAAGTATTTCAATGCAAATCGCACCTGCAGATCGAAACACTGTGTGGGCAAAACCAGATATGGTATACCAATGATCGCCATAGTAGGGTGTTGAATATTTATGCAATGTTTGTACAGTGGTTGGACATGGTTGTTGGTCACATAGATGCCACAGTCAACGCTCAGAAATGGAAATGAATATTGATAGCCAGTACAAAATATGACGCAAGAGAACTCCTCTTCGGTGCCATCTTTGAAAATAGCCCCTGTTCGTGTGAAACGCTTTACATCGGGTTTCTGTGTAACGGTTCCCATGAAATCTGTATCGGGCGCTTCCTTTAAGTGGTGACTGAGAAATATCCTGTTGGCCGTTTTACTAATGTGATTAGCCAAATCCATGCCGGATGGTCCTGCACCAATAATTAGCACATTTTCACCTATCGGACAGGGCAGAGAGGAGGAGGGTACCATTATTATTTTGAATGCAACATTTTCATGTCTCGGAAGGAATGTCATGAATTCTAATTTGATAGTGGTGGCATTATTTTAATTGTTTTATTTTATTTGTTGTAGCTGATATTGTTGTTTGAGTTGTGAGACAACGACGTATAACCGGAATGTTATATTGCCGCCACTTCATTTACATAAGATTTGTTGCTGGTGACAATGAATGAATTGCAAAAAACGAATTTTGAATTCTTAATATACAGTGTGAGCACGATAATTGCAATGGTTGGCTTATTAAATAGTAGCGTTTATATATGTATGTATATTTCCTATAATTTCTGTTCTATCGAGGGAGTTGCTTTAATATTTTTAAACAGTAAACGAGAGAAAAAAACAAGTTTGGGCTACTTTTGTTTTGTTGGATATTTTAAATGGAAGAATTGTAGTTATTTCATTGAAACTAATGATGTTGCTCATCCAAAATAAATAAAAAAATTAAATTTTTAAATTCATAAAATAACAGATGAATTTTCCAGATGTATGTAACTCGACAAGTTTAACATGACTAATTGCTTTTGTAAAATTAAATGCTATTTCCTATGGTCATAATAAATCTTATTTCGCTCTGGTTTAATTGAAATTACAGTTATCGAACCACCTTACACGCAATCTTTAATAAGTAGATTTTTTATGTTTTTGCTTTTTTTATTGCGGTCACATTCTGTCTGTTGCAAAACTTACCCTTAAACTTTTGTGGTTCTCGATAGATATGACTGTGCATTTTACAACCTTGAAATAATTCCATTCCATCTATACGAGGATACTGAGGCTTTGTGTAATGACCATTGCAAATAAAGATTCTATCGAACACGGTCACAAAACACTTATCTGTGCAATGATCTAAAACGTGGACCTGGAAATAAACACACGATCTTTTAGAAGTAATTCTGGTTTTTGCAGCTTCTTCGAAAAGTTTTCACTTGTATTTAAATCAAAAAAAAAAAATGCTTGGTTAAAACAATAATCCATATGTTTTATTGCTTTTTCACATTTATAAATGATAATAAATCGCTCAATATAAATAAAACACACCCCTCACACAAAAATTTCACAAGCACACCCACACAGACAAATACTTACCTCCCATTGATTATTGCAGCGTGGTTTAACTCTTACGACTTCATGTTGAAATTTGATATGCCTTTTTAAATTATAATGATCGGCATATAAATTCAAAAAATCCAAAACCACTTGAGAACCTACAAAAGATTCTTGCATCGATTGGGGATAGGGAAAATCCAAATAGCCCATTACTTCCTTGGGGAGATTAGTTCTGAAACAGAGCATTTTAAGACAAATTTCGCATAAATTAAATTGCGTGCAGATCCTACCTTAGACCTTGATACATGCTGCTGTGTATTTCATCATCGTCACGAATATTGGGCGACAGATCCTCGTATACCCAGGTGCCACCCAACACTTTGCCCTGTTCATAGCAAACCACATTCAGCTGATGTTCCAAAGAGTTTTTCAAAGCCGTAAGTCCTGCTGTGCCAGCACCAATAACACACACACTTATACCAGTACCATTGGTCATTGTTGTCACTTTTTTCAAATCGTAAGAAAGAGGAAAAATCAACAACCGTTCATTTAAAAGTTTAAACATATACTGTAAACATTACTCAAATAGATTTAGTGTTATAGCTATAGCTAGTGAAACCAGGCGATACAACTATATACCCTACAGCCAGGTATGCACAGCTAACAACTAGCGAAAGATAATTGCTTTGGTGGCGCCATTCATTTAATAACAATTGAATGACATCCTGACTGACCAGTTTTCTTGGGTTTTCTTAAAAGGAAAGCAATTCATAGGCGCTGGCCAGTAAGTTATATTGAGCAGAAGTAATTACAAAACTCCGTTGGATTTTTGAACTAAAACTTCGCAACAGGTAGTTATGGCCAGAGCTAGTAGTGCTTTTGACAATGTGCCTTGCCACGCAAATTGCGTTTTACTGGCGGGCGTTTACTGAAATGTGATGAGTTTTCCCGACTATCTCTGCTCATCTTTGCAAAAACAACAAAAAAAAACAACATTATCTCAAAATGGAAAGAAGGCTTCTTAACGATAATGTCTTTTGTCGTCACCAGTAACCTACTACGATTCAACAACAATAACAAATAAACTAGCTATTACATAAAAAGAAAGGAAAATTTTTTGCCAAGTGTCTTAACAGCGGCCATGTGTATGTTAGTTAACCAACATTGGACGCTCTCTCCCGTATGTACATATGTGTACTCTCATTTGTTTTGTTAATTTCAAAAGAAGTAAAAAAGCTGTTATCAACAACACCAGCAATACAACTGGCCTTTTGAAAACTCCTTAGCTACATTGTCTTTAAGTAGCAAAACGAAAATCTGTTATCAATAAAACATAAAAATCATTTTCTGATTGATTTCATCATCATCGTCGATCACCTACTTTGTAAAATTATGGTGCCATTCAAGTTTGTTACTCTATGCCATAAATTGTAAATCGGATCGGATGATCATTATCTTTATCATCATCATATCTGCTGCAGGTTGGATTTACACCATGGATTTATAAATAAGTACAAATATTTGATAACAAAAATATATATATTTTTTTATCAAAGCAAAGATTTTTATTTGTTCTGTTTGTAGTTGCAAAAAAGGCTTTTGTAAAAAAAAAACTTTCCATTTTATTATCAATGTATTAATCCGATGTTACTTTTTGTTATTGTTAAAAACTTTCCACTTGGATACAAAGGGACTGATTTATATACACATTAATTTACTCAACATTTGATCTATCTTTAGTATTTTTTTAACTTTGCATTTCGAAAATATTTTCTCAACACACTAATTTCAACACAAATTGCCAATAGTTGGAAATATGTAAACATATTTATACGTTACATCACCATCACCAATGAATATGGAAAACAAAACTTTAAATAATTACCCATGTTTTCTTATTTTCTATATTTCCGTAATATATATTTTTATGCTACTGAAGTGTAGAAGCGTTGCTATACTGACTGGCTGGAACGCATCCATAATTGATATATACATTGTTGCGGCTGATAAGTGAAATGATTACTGTATGCGCAAAGTTCATGTTGATTCAAACATTCATTTTGGCAATACATATTGCAACCCACCCAAAATAGTGTCCATAAAACGTGTTTATAGACAATGGGTCTTGATTAAAATAGCACTTGAGACGCATAGATAAATAATAAAAAGGTTTCCACAACAATGTTTACTACTGTTGTGTATTAGAGATAGCATCGTTTTTCTATTGAAATGGAAGATAAAACTAAGACCTGTAGATTACTGAATATTTTAGTGAAAACAGCGATAAATTAATAATAATTGTTTTGGTAAACATGAAACTATGTCTAAAATTATTGTTTTTCTGAAAACTTACAGGTCAATTTTTTACATACACATACTCTCAAAATTTTGCTACAATATCCAGTAATTTTTTTTAATTTATTTCATTTATCTAAACTCAGTGGAAGAAATCACATCAATAACATTAATGTCACACCTTTACAAAGGACGTAAGCAATTCTAAAATTCTATGCATACTTTTAGGCATGTGTACAGAAATCAATACAAAGCTAAATAGAGAACTTATTGGACCGTCAATCTTGATATAAATGGTAAACCTAAATTGTTTTTTTAGTGAAAGCATTTTGGGTGTAAATAAATCTAAATGGTCGTAAGTTAATACTCTCTTGTTTAACTTTTGTCTTAATAAGATCCAGAACAAACCTTGCTTCAAATTCAAATTTCAACTCCTTGAGTTGAGGCAAACACTAGTTGAAGCATCCCGTCCCGAATGGTATACATCTGTTAATCAAACTAAAATTAAAATAAATCTGACAAACCTGGATGTTAAGTGACGACTTGCGCCTTGCGTAACATCGATATTTATTGTTGATAAGAAACTCAACTACACAACAATGAATTCTAATAAATACAGGGAAGCAAGCACACGAACAAATTTTGTCGATCAAGTACATCTCTTATTGTATAAAAATTTCAGAATTTATTTAATTGATTTTTTGACTTTTTTCATAATTTTCTATGTCGCTGTTTTGTTTTTCTTCTTACAATTAGTTATAACATAATTAAATGCACTTAAATCCAATCACATTGTTCACAAACATGATTTATTTTTGATCGACCAAGTTTAACTTGTTACTGATCAGGCGGAGGAAAAATCGCTTACAATTTGCCAGTCAATTCTGGAACAGCCTTGAATAAATCTGCTACCAAACCAATATCGGCAACTTGGAAAATTGGAGCTTCAGGATCCTTATTAATGGCGACGATTGTTTTGGAGTCCTTCATGCCAGCCAAATGTTGAATGGCACCGGAAATGCCGACGGCAACATATAGATCGGGGGCTACAATTTTACCAGTTTGGCCGATTTGCAAATCATTGGGCACATAGCCAGCATCGACAGCGGCACGAGAAGCTCCCACAGCAGCTCCGAATTTATCAGCAAGATCATACAACAATTTGAAGTTATCACCAGATTTCAAACCACGACCACCTGATATAATAACCTTGGCACTAGTCAATTCTGGGCGATCAGATTTGGTCAATTCTTGGCTAACAAATTCGGTTAGACTCTGGGCATAGTCGCCAGCAGGGGCGGGTTCGACGGCACCACTACCACCAGTAGCAGCAGCGGGAGCAAAATTGGTGCCACGTACAGTAATAACCTTCACGGGATCTTTCGAACGCAATGTGAGAACAGCATTTCCGGCATAAATTGTGCGCACAAAGGTATCTTCGCTCTTAACATCAATAATTTCGGAAATAGGTGAAACATCCAATTTAGCTGCTACGCGAGGCAAAACATTTTTGCCGAATGCGGTGGCACCAGCCAAAATGTGGGTGAATTTAAACTGGTTTTGGGCAGCCAAGACCAAGGGTGTCAATGATTCAGGGGTGAAACCTTTGAAGGCGTCATTTTCAGCCACCAAAACCTTGGCAACTCCCTCAACTTTAGCCACAGCTTCAGAGGCCTGTTAATAGACAGGAGAAAGCAAATGATAACGAATGTCGACGAATAAAATAATAAGTGTTATGCAAACATCATCATGTCAACTTACGGGGCCACATTTTGTGCCAGCAACCAAAACCGTAACATCGCCACCAATCTTCTTGGCTGCGGCAATTGTGTTCAGTGTGACGGGATTTAATGCCTCATTATTGTGTTCAGCTACAACCAACGTGCTTTTGCAGCGATGGAACTAAAAATATATGAAAAATAAAATATGTTTTCGTAGCACAATTAAACATGCAAAATCAAAAGCAACTTACAATGCTGGTACGCAACAAGTTACGTGATGAGTTTGCAAACATCTTGCGAGACTACAGAAATTTATTAATGGACACAAAGCACTTCACTGCTGTAATGACAAAATTTATTTTAATTAATCAAATTGGGATTCAATAGTGGAAATTAAATTAAATAACTTACTCTACTCTCCTGCAACAGAGCAAATGAGTAAATGGAATCAAAGGTCGGAAACAGACTTTAGAGCCAGACGCATGTAAAACTGTGACGGCGCAACAGGTGCTTTGTGTTTGAAACACATTCATGACGGTTAGCGTTTTTTGTGTTTTGTTTTTCTTCACATTAGATATTGTTATTGTACATAACATATAGTAAACAATTATTAACTTATAAATAAAAGAAATTAAAGAAAATGTTGACTTTAATTTAAAATGCAATATATTTTGGAATATACGTTACATTGAATCGTCTGGAGAAAGTTAAATTGTGTCTCCTTTGTACAATTTTTGTTGTTCTACGGAGCACACACTGACGCTATTCTTTCAAATATATCCTATCTTGGAGTACACCATAAATAAAATAAGAACCATAAGGCAAAATCAAAATCTGTGGATGTCGTTTTATTAATAACGCATAATAAGTTCACTCTGATATGGCCTTGATTGCGCCACTGTGGTACCATTTACTTACAATATGTTTAAAAAACCAATGTTATGTTAATAAATAAGCGTTGGTTTATTTATATCCGAGTTAAGACAGAGCGACACATAACAATATTTAATGTATACTTTAAATAATTATTCAATTTTCCTTTTCCTCCTCGCCAGTATCTGGGGATGGCGAAAATAAGGCAACACGTTTACGATGCCTTTCACATTTGGGGCATGGTTGGTTGTCATTTAAACATTCGGCATGAAAGACAGACCCACATGTTGAACACTGTCCACGAAAGATAATCAAATTCATATCAAAATAACACAAGTGATATTTATTCTGAAATACTTACGCGGTATGTCGTTTCGATGTGAAAAGGATATAGAACCTTGGGCCCTTTGCATATTTCACATATGAAACCCTTTAAACTGCATAGGGGACATTTTAAAATGTGAGCCTCTCCGACTTTATATGCCTTCTGCAATTTCTGGTACAACAAACCACGTTGTATCATTGCCAAATCTCCTATGGAGTACTGATGAATGTGCTCGTACAAATATTCTTTTCCGAAAAACAACCGTTGCAATTCTTCAAAGCTCTTGGGGCTACAGGTGCACAGATAAGCTCGTATAAAATTGAGTCGAATACGTAAGGCCTGTAATTCGGCCATTGCCTCTGAAGCATTGTATATATCTGGATTAAGAAGCTTAAAATTGAAGCAAATATAATCAATTCATTCTGTGCATATCGAAAGGAAAGTTATCGCCCCTTACCTTAAGATCAATAAATGGCTGTGTACGAAATTCTGCCAGGAATGAGGCAGCTTTTTTCGACACCACATACTTGCGAAAATCCCAATTATAAATTATTTTTGCTGGTATAATGACGGGTTCCATGTCCATACAATTATCACAAAAGTAGCTTCCACTAATTGAACAAACTCTAAAGTTGGAGTAACCTATTCCCAAGGGATGTTGACATGATTTGCACAAGAATCCCTGAGCATCCAATCCAGGCTCTCTAGCCAATTTGCATAGCTGTTCCACCATTTCTTGTAACTCCTGTATGTCAAATTTCTCCAAAGATCCTCCGGACACTACTTCAAAGTCCGACTTATTTGATTCGCATTCATCATCACAATTGATAGTGGACTGCGAAACTGCAATTCCTGTCGTATTTTGTAACAAAAACTTTTCCCACACCTCGGTCCAGTCCACTTCCCGTTGACGTTCATGTTTGCGTAGTAATGCATTGTAGCTGCAGCGATCTGTTGCAGGTGATCTCAAAGAGCTTGCAGAACTCGTTAAACTAAGGGATCGTTGAAAGTGGAAAGGACGCTCCTGGGAATTACTGTCTCCATAATTCATATCAGAACACCAGGATTTTTGCATGAGGTTACTAAGAGAATTACTGCCACTTGCATTGACTTCCACACATGCTTCAATATTTTCCTTAGCCGCTTCATCAGTCAGTGGAGAGTGTTGCACTAGTGTTGGCTCCTCGCCTAATGTATCTTCTTCCATTTCCTCTACTTTTTGTAAAAATAGATCGACATTCATACGAGTATTCCCCTCGTCCGCGGCAAAATTTGTGCTTCTTTGAAATGGACTGTTAGATATAGATTCTGAAAAGAGTTGATTTGTGCACAACGGCTGGGGCATGGGTATTGCTCTTGTCTCCTCCACCAAAGAGCCGGCTACATCTAAGCCGCTGCTAATGGGACAGGATTTCATTGTAGGTGTCCATAGTCCTGAGAGCTGTAGAGCTTGATCCGGCCATTGATTCATAAGACTGGTATTATATGGCAATTTAAACTGCGCTAAACTCTCAACGTTGTCTATCAAATGAATTGCTCTCTCCAGACGTGATGTATCCTTAATTAACGCATATTTCTTGTAGTATGGACTCAGTGAAGATGAGTTCTTGCCCATGTTATTTAGATATGAGGAAAGCAACCCATCGTTGAGACTTAAACGAATCCATGCACGACACATGCCAACCTCTGAAGTTACTTGAGTCAACGAACTTATCTAGTATTAAAAAAATACTGTTAATCAAGTTAGGTTTTACGAAATATCAAATTCAATGTTACCTGTTCTATTACTTCTTTGTGTAGGAATACCATTATGGGCGAGTAAAAACTAGGTTCTGGTCTGCGCTCACCCTCCACGCCATTGATAATGCTTAAAGTTTGCCATAGAAATGAATCCTTAAGGCCATGCAGAAAGACAGCTTCTATTGTTGTTACCAAGTTATTGGAACTTTCACAAAGTTCAATAATCGTTCCTTAAACATCAAAATCAAGAATCAATTCCAATCCCAGCCTTTTCATCCGTTGAGAACTACGTGTGTTTTATGTTATACTGACCTTCTCCTTTGTCTTGAACATCGTATTCTATCTCCTTCACATTCTCTTGCAGTGCTTCCAAAATTGCCTCCTTTACTGCAATTTCTCGTTTACTAGATACTCCACTTAGGCTTCGAAATAATGAGCTCATATTCGCTGAGTTTAATCCTTACTTGCGTCTCAGATAAAGTACAACTGGACGAGTCAGTCATGTCATTTAATACCCGAAAATAAGTAAGAAATAAGAAAAATGGCCATAAAGAAACTGAAAAATATGTTGGAATATCTTCACCTAAGTATTCCAAATTCAAGGTTCCCTAGTCTCTCTCTGTTATTGGATTTGTTTTTGTTCTTGTGAGCAGAGTTGCCAGATTGAAAATTCCTCAAAACAATAGAGAAGTAAAGGTCTACTTTGGGAAATTTAACAGCTGATAGTAGGGAACTCATAATAAGACATGTATATTAAGTCGTGTATGGACCAAAACTTTCTTCTCTCTATCGCACTTTTTATTAAAACAAGCTACGGAATTTCTGTTTTTAAAAAAAAAAATGTTTTTGCCACACTTTTAGTCCGTCAATTTTCGTATGAAAACAGTAGTTGTGTTTTCCGGAACTCTTTAATTGGTAAAACTAGTCGAATTGAGAAATTTTCAAATGGCTTTGCCTAAAAATCACGAGAAGGAAAAACTACGAAAAATTCAAAAACTAAATGGCTATCTTTTAATCAGCAGCTACGAATCATTCTGCCATTTTCTAAAGCAAATGATTTCAACTTTCCCCGCCTGTCTAGGGAATAAGTGGAAGTTACAAACTCTTAATTATTTTAAGTACCTCTTATTTAAAAAGTTATACAGAAAATTGAATACAAATATATTATACACAAATATTTATATGCCACTTATTGCAATAAGAACAATATTCTGTATGTTCTAACAATTTTTGATATTGAAAAGATTTTATGAAAGAAAATCCCTGCCTCTGCATGCACCAGTGTAATACATGGCTAAATGTAAACATGGCAAGCTTAGCTTATAGTACGAATTCGGTCTACTTATCCCTAGTTTTGACACATTCCATTCGATTCAAGGCGACGAAAAATCCCAAACTCCGTTTAATTTTCATGTTTTTTCTTCTAAATTTCTTCAAAAGGTAAGAGATCAGGGGTCGAATGTTTTCGTGATATAATTTTCCAATAATACGCATTAAATTGAGTGCCGAGCCGTCGCGAGTGGCTTGCAAAATATTTGTTGTTTGTAACTTTGTTTTTGTTTGTGAGCTGTTTGTGAATGAATCATGGGTCGAGACCAATGTAATCTGTTGTGTTTACTTGCTCAATTTCAATGACAAACAAAAGTGTACAACATCCAAGGTACAAACAACTAAATTGGATGCGTTTGAGTGCGGAGACAAGTAGTCTTATTGTGGAGCAAGGTATTCAAGTACTAATGTGTACCCTCTGCATTTGTTTCCACAGATATTTATATGACGTTCCTATGGCAAATTGAACATGTCCTCCAACGCAACAACAACGCCAACGACGAAATCACATTTACATAAATCTTGTACTAACAATAATTCCCAGAGTTTGCCACGCTTGACTGCGACCTGTGCAGGCTGCCTCAATGAATTACACTCCTCGAATGCTGAAGATTATACCATAGCCTTGGGCCAAGAATGGCACACAGACTGCTTTCGCTGTTCAGTATGCGACAATCATTTACACAACTGGTATTTTGAAAAGGAGGGCTTACTCTTCTGTCGCGATGATTACTACCAACGGTTTGGTGAGGCATGCCAACAGTGCAGCGATTTCATATCAGGTCCTGTTATGGTGGCCGGCGATCACAAATTTCATCCGGAATGTTTTTGCTGCACAGATTGCAAGGCGTTTATAGGCTTTGGCGAAGCGTTTGCTTTGCTGGAACGATCAAAACTGTATTGTGACACTTGCTATAGGAGATTGACGAATTCATCCAGTTCGGCATTCGAAAGCGTTAAACCGCTACACTCTATACGCTTGGTGGAAATACCAAAAGATGTGACCCCAACTTTGCGGTTGTCTGTTGATAATATAAATGTAGCACAGCGTCATCATCAGTTAAGCAATCCGGATAATTGGTATTCTCGTGTATATAATTCTGCTTCGACGTCGACAGTTGATGGAAAGACTGGTCTGCTGACAGGCAGTTCTTCGGAACTATGTCCTGCTGTTCGAATATCTGAGTGAGTGAATAGAAGAGCAATTTTAAAGTATTTAGGAGAAACAATAGCCAAGTCTCTGGCTACATGTTTTTTCTTATCAAAGTATGTAACTAACCTTATCAATTAAAATTTTGCAAATATAATCCTTAACTTCAGATATCACAAACACATACTTATATTTACCTTTATGTGTGTCGTCACTGCATTTATATGTACAAATGTTACTTTGGCGTACTTCGTTCTTATCAACAAAAAACCGAAGGAAAGAGGTTTGAATCAAACAGCAGAGGTTTACTTCTTTGCAATGTTTACGGAATAACAAAATGTATATATAAATAAATTTGTGACCACCACATATAGGTATTTCTTCTATCAGTACAAAACAATCATCATGATACCCGTTATAGACTTCCACAAGCATTGTAGTCGTTTGCATTACTAATAACTAGAAATCATTCATAATTGGCACTACTAATATTCTGACCCAATCATTTTCTCTTTCAAAACGCATACCCTTCTAATTCCTTTGGTTACCGCAAAACAAAACTAAAACCTACCAGGTTCATTTGTAGAGTTTATGGACGTGTTGGCAAATACGTTTTCTCCCTAATCACATCGGTTATTGATCAGTGTTGTGGGGCTTATAGGTAATAATATTAAACACATTCATCAATTTAATCCACCAAAGGATGTGTTTGTGTCGGAAACCTATGATTAATTGTTGATTTCTTTACTAAATGACAGAATTGATGTAAATCTCACCAACCTGCATGTGGGAGATCGGATTTTGGAAGTCAATGGTACACCCGTGAGTGACAACTCCATAGAGCAGATCGATAAAATGATACGTAGCACAGAGATCCTCCAGCTGACGGTGGAACATGATCCCTTGCAAGTATGTCGTAGCTGCAGTAATGTGGATATCAAGAAGGTCACCAGTGAAGTGTCCCTGCCTTTGGCCACCTCAGCGTCGAGTGTGGAAGTGTTTGGACGTATCTACGAAAGTAGTGGTAGCACAAGCACGGCCACCACTGCAATAAGCCACAACGATGGTGGGTCACCCACACGTCTGACGAAACAGGATAAAGAACGCATCTACAAGAGAAAAGATGAGGGCTACATTAGTGGAACTAAAACCAGACAATTACGCAAATACAAAAACCTAAATCAAATGGCGGCAAGCGATCTTCTGAATCAAAGTTCGAACAGTGAAACGAACAGCACCACTTCAGTTTCATTTCGTGGCAAGGAAAGATGTTCAAGCATGTCCAAACTCATGGGCGAACAACATCCGGACCAAACGCAACAAATGAACGATTTGTCCCGCACGAAATCTTTTCGTGTGGAACAGCAACCTTCGCGTATTTTTCGTCCCTCCGATCTGGTTGTGGGTGAAATGTTGGGCAAGGGTTTCTTTGGCCAAGTCTTCAAGGTAACAGATCGCAACACAAAGGAGGTGATGGTCTTGAAAGAGCTCTACCGCGTGGATGAAAGTGCACAGGAGAATTTTCTCAAAGAAGTGGCCGTTCTTAAGTCATTAAATCACAAAAATGTTCTAAAATTCATTGGAGTACTGTACAAAGAAAAGCGTCTGCATCTGGTAACCGAATATGTGGCCGGTGGCTCACTAAAGGAACTATTGCACGACTCGGGATTGCCTTTAACCTGGACAGAGAGAATTTCCTTTGCCAAGGACATTGCATGTGGAATGTGTTACTTGCACTCGAAAGACATCATCCATCGTGACTTGAACTCTTTAAATTGTTTGGTTCGGGAAGACAAAACCATAATTGTTGCCGACTTTGGATTGGCACGCATCATCAACACCTCCTTGAGTACAAAATGCACAGAACAGACGCAGACAGACAACAGTGCCAGTAAAACGGGAACCTGGGGACGAAGCAAGAGCCGACAACGCAGACAACGCTACACCGTAGTTGGTAACCCATATTGGATGGCGCCGGAAATGATGAAAGGTCACATCTATGATGAAAAGGTTGATGTATTTTCATTTGGCATTGTGCTGTGTGAGGTATTTTTAATGAGCTTGTCTGTTGGAAACAGCAATAATTTATTACAATCTTTTTTTTAGATTATTGGTCGTGTCCAGGCGGATCCTGACTTTTTGCCACGCACCTCAGACTTTGGCCTAAATCAGAAGGTATTTCGTGAAACATTTTGTAACCAGTGTCCCGAAGCATTTTACAAAATAACATTTCTGTGTTGTGACTTAAATCCGGATAGGAGGTAAGAATAAGATTTCTTAGATGTATAAAATTGTCTAATTGCTTGGGGATTTTTAGACCCTCCTTTGAGATATTGGAAGTGTGGCTGGACAGTTTAAAGACATATATATCGTCCGGGCAGCCTGTTCCCCATGAACTTTTGTATGATATTGACAGCTATCAAGGTGGCAGTATTTGTTCAACACCAGTCGATATCTTGACTCCAAAATCCAATCTGAGTCGAGATAATTTAGATGAAGTGGGAAATGGCAAACCAAATTTTCCAATCACAAATCCAAACCTAAAAGATTCCCCAAAAGATGATGGGCCCAAAGAATCGATGGAGGAAGACAAACAAGATAATAGCTTGCTTTTGCCGGACGGAATACCGAAATCACCACATTTGGGAAAGGATTTTTCACCAAGTGGAGAACGAATACACAACAGTATGCGCGCCAGAAGGAGACAACGTTTTCTACAGGCCCAGAGCACTTTGAGCGGGGGTGAGGATCAAAGCACAGAGCGGGTTTTGGAGGCCGTCAAGGAGACACTGCAAAATGATTGTCACAAAAGCAAGACAGCGCAAAATAAACGAAACTTGGATAGAGGTTTTATTTTGGACATAAATCGTAGTGGCATTCTTCACATCAATAATGTGCGAGATCTCAATAATCTTTCCGATTTCGATTCGAGTTGTGATACCAGTCTCAATTATCACGAAGTCAATGCCGGCATGGATGGTGTATCGATTAATGATGAAAGTCGAAAACCGACCGAAGAAATTAAAGAACAAACAGTCCTCACAACGACAGTAGAGGAAATGGAAGATGACTCCAAGTCGACGGACCGAGCAAGGCAAACACCGGCGGAGGACGAGGAGCAGGAAAATAATGAAAATCGTACAAGTCAAAATAAACTATACAACCATAACATAGCAGCTAATGAGGAACAGAAATCTCTGGATTCCTTGGACAATATAAAACGTAATCTTGCCGATAAATCGTACAAATTAGCACTTGAAGACTTTAGGACCCGTTTGAATTTGTGTAAAAACAAATTCGATGCAATTGAGGAAGCAAATCGCAAAAACTTCAATAACTCACAAAATTCGATGCGTTCCCTGTTCAAAATAAACACATCTGAGGAAGTTTTTAAATCACCACCAGAAGCCTTGAAAATGTTTCAGCGTTTGAAGCCAACCAAGTCTACGGATAGCCCTGATGGTCTGAAGAACACCTATCGGGTTAATCAAACACCGGTATTTGGTAGAAAAATGACGCAACAACAGCCAAAGGAATTCTATAAACCTCATTCCGATTCTTTGGAAAATCTAGACAAAATCTCTATTACAGACACGTCGAAAACCGACAAGAAAGAGACAAGTCCGGCCAAGAGAGCAAAATTGCCCAAAGAGGGAACCTTTAAAAGCTACATAACATCATTGGATATAACGCCCACAGCACCGTCGGAGGAATCTTCAATGCCAATTGCTCAAACAAAAAAGCCCCTTGGTGGTAGTGGCCGGCTGAAGGTGTCCAGTAATTTGTTAAGTATACGGCGAACATTAAATCTTTCGTCACCCACCAGAAATGAAGAGACAAAAGGATTTAGTCGTCGTACTTTGTCGCCAACGAAATCAAGTGAAGCCAAACGGGTGACAGCCACAAAGCAGCCGCAGCAGCCGGATTTGCCAACAAGTAAGTGTTTAAAATTAAAAATAATTTGAAAAAAGTTTGAGATTAATTTCTTTATCGTTCCTGCTTTTTAGCTTCTAGAAATCGTCTTCTCGCAACATCATCCGCAATAAAGCCCAGCAATCGCCTTACTATTTTAAGTCCAGAAAAAGTGCATCGTTTAAATGCTAAATTAACGGATCAGAAGAAACAATCCTCAGCCACTATTGCCAAGACAAACATTACCAATAACAACAACAACAACAATAATAGCAAAGTAAACGAAATTAGATCAACAGAAACATGTACCACCGCATCACCAGCAGCAGCATCATCATCGTCACCACCATATACAAAATTATTACCACCGTCCACAAATCTGTCCCCAACCACCACAACAACAACGACAGCAACATCATCAACATCAACCCACATAAATCGTAGCACCGAACACGAAACGAAACAAAAACGACAACCTGTTTCTAGGTCTCAATTCTTTACCAGATGTTAACTTTTGAAATTATTTGCTTAACGGAATGAATCTCCAAACCTCGATAATACTCGATTTAGAAATCAAAAAAAAAAAAAAACAAACGAACTAAAAAGAATGCGACACGAATGTTGAATTGGTTCGGTAACATTGGTTGCTCAAAAATCATAAATCATGAATGTGAATATTTTGGGATGAGTAACAAGAAACTACGTTTCTAAGTGCCTGATAATAATAATCATAATAATAATAATATACCAATCTCTATCTAGCAATATACATACATACATACAAAGATATGTAAGTAAAATGCAATAATTTTACAAAAACAACAAAAATCATAACATATACACATTCGAATATTTATATGTATACAATAAACATAACCCCCTCCCCCCTCCCTTTAGGTATTTCAAAAACAAAAAGACAAACAAACGCGTTTTTATGCGATATTCTTTTTAGTGCCATTAGCATTAAGCAATTGTTTAACTATTTTTTTTCTTTTCTTATTTTTTTGTAAATGATAAGTCGAACAATAATTCTAAATGTTAATGCCATTATGTTAAATTAAAATGTTAACAGTATTTAATTTTAACAATTTTTAGTCTTAATTTATACAATTACATTTTTATAAACTTATCTCCTTTAATAATTAATTGTTCAACTCAATGTCAATTTGATTGCTCAACTAAGAGACATAAACCTAAAAAAGACGTTTACAAAAATGCTGCTTCTTTTCCTTAGTAACACACAGATAGTCTAGTTGCCTAAGACTTAAACTAAACAAATACTCTCTCAATTAATTGTTAACTTGTATTTTAAGAGCCATTGTTTTCTTATTAAAAACAAAAAAAAAAAAACGAACCGAGACTAGTATTAGAGACAACTATATACATAAATATATATATATACATACTTAAAACATTCAATATTTTTATGCATTTTTACACAACCCAAACCATGTAAGATAAATAAAATAAACAATGTACAATGTTGCGTATATTTATAATATAAATAAAAACAAAATTACTAATACTTACAAAATATGTAAACTTAAATAAAAAACAAAAAGTGAAAAGAAATGTTTAATACAAACCTGTTTTAATAGCCTGCTATCGTAGCAGACCAACTAATCTTACAGAATGGGTGTTTTGTAAACTCCTATTATCGTGGAAAATGTGGAGAAATTCTGTGTCAAATACAGGGTGAGATGGAAAAACTGCAACCAACTTCAGACTGCTGTCATTCCTAAGCCACACGTCCGACAGCTGTTAAAATTGTTCCACTGACATCTTTACAAGCATACAAAAGTATTTTGGTGAGAATTTTCCAGAAAAAAGTTATTCGTGATGGAATTCAAGCGTGATAGTGTGATTTCGGTTTATTTACTTCTGATTAGTTGGAGGTAGAAGAATTATTTGGCCTCAAGTGTGATTTCTTTATATTTGGCTGGAAAACCACAAGTGGCTATCGTTAGAGCACCCCAGCATTTAAATGAGAATAAATCTTTTGTGTGTCGTACCATCGCTCTTTACCGTGATACTGGTAGCGTAGTTCGAAGTCAATGAAGTGGAAGGAAGAAAACAGCACCATCAGGAAAGTAAAGAAGCGACTTGATCGAAACCCGCGTCGCAGCGGCCATTTTTCGGCAATATTCCATTCGGCAAATATTGAAAAATGAGCTCGTGGTCGAGTCATTGAATTTCCAAAATGTGCAAAAACTTACACCGCAACAAACTGAAAATAGACTCAAAAGAGCTAAAGAGTTGCTTCGCTTGGCCGAAAGTGGTGAACTGCCGAATTTGGTTTTCTTCGATGAGAAAACATTCGTTGTCCAGCAGTTTGTAAACAAACAAAATGAACCGCTCGTGTTTACTTGCCAAAGAGGTCAGATGAAAAAATGTGCACCTTCGGTTGTCCACCAGAGCTCAAGCGCCGGCTATGGTGATGGTGTGGGTCGCAATAACAGCCGATGGTCGCCCTCCGCTCGTATTAATGGACCGTGGCATCAGAATAAATGCCGAATATTATCGTGAAAATATTCTGGAGGGTGTGCTAAAGCCTTGGGCACACAAACATTTTGGCCGCAGACCTTGGACATTCCAACAGGACTCAGCACCATTGCACTTAGCACGCGCCACCCAAGAATGGTTACAAAATAAGGTTCCTCGCTTCATTTCCAGCGGACAATAACCACAAAAACTCCGGATACCAATCCGTTGGACTATTGTGTCTGGAGTATTTTGAAAGGCAAGGTTAGCACTAAAAAATACCCAAGTGTCGATTACCTCAAGCAAACGCTTCGCCGGGAATGAGCCAAAATACCGCAGAGCAACATTCGGGCAGCGTGTGACGGTTTCATTGGCCGTTTGAAGGTCATAATTCGTGCCCAAGGTCATCAATTCGAAGAAATCTAAACTTATTCTAAAATTTAATACTATTTCCGACATTTTTTGACATTTTCATTCAATAAAATTTAAAAACAAATGTAAAAATTTTGCCGTTTGATTTTGTTGCAGTTTTTTTACATCACCATGTATACAAATTTTACGATTAATTTCCACGTTATGGGCCCCAATTCTTTTTCTATGAAGATATGAAAGGAAAACTTTTATAAACGAAAGAAACGTCAAATGAAAAATTTTATAAAGGAAATATTTTTCATTTCATATTTTCATAGAAAAAGAATTGGGGCCATGGTTCCAAGAAATAAACAAATTCATTCATCTTTGGTAATTTTTTGTATTTTATTTATTCAACAGTTTCTTATTTTATTGTTAGTGGATTTGTTTTTTGGTAATTAACTAGTAGCTAAATAGACTCTCTGCGGGGTTGGAAGGCACTTTAATTTTTTTTGAGTTATCGTAAAAAAATACGAAAAAAGCTTAACAACTATATATGTTAAAAATTTGTTTTCTTTTTTTTGTACTGGCAAAACAATAACAATTAACAAAAGAAGAGTAGAAATCGAAATAATAAATAATATTCTTTTAAAAAAGAATCACAACTAATATCCTTTTTTTGTTTGTTCCAATTAAAATATAAAAAAAATATATTGCACAATTAACAAGTTTGTTGCTTTAATGCCTATTGCTCTTGTCTTGCAGATACTTATCACGCACCAACAGCAATTCGTCGAAGAAGAGCAAAACAAGAGTTGAGTGTGGGGCTATTCTCAAGTAGTTGGCCCAAAAACCTTTGTATAAGCCATAAATACCTTCTGATTTTAATATCTTAACACAACAGTCTAGCCAACCGTTGTAACGACCACGTTCGTCCCATCCTTGATTGTAAAGGCGGGTTGAAATGACATCTGGCGGTGTAATGGCCACCGACATTAATGAGCCTGCAATAAGGCCGGCACAAAATGAGTTCAAGGTTGGCTGGGTAACAATATCGTATTGCTTAAGCATAAATTTTGTTTTGCCAAACGTGGCGATTTGTGCTCCGGAGCCGATAGCAGCACGCGGTATGGCGGCCATTGAACCGCGCCACAGGCCATATATTCCGCGTTTATTGTAGATTTGTGAGAGGGCATCCATCATGCCGGTATGGGCATGTTGATATCCCACGGCAATTTGTTTTGCGGCTTGAGACTGTAGTTGTGTTTTAACCTATGAATAGAAAAGTTTTTTTCTGCAATTAGACACGTGATTTACCAAGCAAATTAAATATCAAAACTGGCATTGAATGTATGACAATTTTCAATGCCGATAAGATGTTAAAACATGCATCTACGATATTAAAAGTAAGGTCTGATATAGAGGGAACAAATCTTTATAGCCAGTTTGTAAAAATAAATGCAAAAACTTTTAACGTTCTTAGCGAGAATGAGGAAATAAAATGTATCAAGAAATTATGGCAGTTATATAACTTCGTACTGTTGCTCAGGGTGAAAATAAACATCGGTAGATTTCCATTAAAACTTTTGGCTTTAAGCGATGCTTGCTAATGGGAGAAGTAGTTAAATTTAATGTCGTTCCCTCTCTAATAAAACTATTATGAATTTATTTGTTTATAATTGTCACTAAGCGCTATCTTTGTATGGGTAGTGCGAATTGCTAATCTCCATTCTTATCAAAAACTCGTTTATTCATCTCTAAAAATGTAAACAACTTGAGTTCAAATTTAGGGAAAATTACACAATAAACAAGTCCAATATTTTGACAGAACCCTTAGCAAAATTAATAATAGATAATAGCGATGACATGGCTAATTTTATGTTATGTTATCTACAGTAAACTAATTATGCAAAAACAACTTAAATTTGACTTGTTTTGACAAAAAAAAAAAAAAAAAAAAAAAAAAAAAAACAAATGAATGCTATTTTCCCACTTACCATAAAAAATGGACTAGAGAAATAGGAACCAATGGCACCACCGGCAGCACCCCAAAACAGGCCCAGACCAAAAGATACTTCACCATTTTTCTTATGCATCCATCCCTTGTTTAAGGCCATATTATAAATGCTTAAACTGAACAAAAGACAATCTCATTGAAATCATCATCATCACAGAGGTTTTCAAACAAAAGAACCACTTACCGAAATGAATTAATAATAAATTGAAAATATAAAGCCGGTACTAAACCCTTTTGGAGTCCAGACAAGCCATCGTTTTTGGCCACCGTTGCAAAGGCATGAACGATCCCCCGGTATGGTTCGACATAGGTACCGCGAGCCGCTAATTCACCTTGAAGTTGAATGCGTGTCTTGATGACCTTTAATAAAAAACAAAAAGTAAAAATCACCATTAAAATGTATTTCACAACATTTTTCATTTAATTTTCATTGGAAAACGGAAAACTTACTTCAATGGGATTGGTGAAAAATGTGGCACCAACCGATGCAAAACCGCCCAAAACAAAGTCAGAGGCATCCATGATCCATATGTTTATTAGAGACTCCAACTACCAAAACTGACACCTTCAATGTTCATATTTATTTGAAGAATTGCCTGTTTTTTTGGGACGATTGATTGGAATTTATCTTCTATATCTTCTGTAATCACCTCACACTGGAGATGGTAGACAATCGATGTAAATGTCGATGATCATAGTGTTTTAAACCTGTGTGAAGTTATCAACTTTGTTAACTATCGATAATATAGATTTTTCCTCAAAACTACAGGGCGACACAGAACAGCGTAATTCTACATTTCATCCAGCTGTGCGACAGAAAAACAAAAGAAACTGATTTGAAAACAAATTTGATTTATAAATACAAATTATGAATGAAAATATTTATAAAATAAATAAATGTTGATTGATTATGAATGCTCATATTAGTGTAATTACTTCCATGCATAATATCGCAGACTTGTACGTAATGCAACACTTGCTATTGACAAACATTTAGGCGCCAAAAAGAGCAATGCTCATTGTTTGTGTTATTTGATAGCATATATAAAGGTCATAAAAGGGACAAAACGGTAAAATATTTTGAAATAAATCGCTAAAAATAAGTCCTAGAGGAAGATAAACATAGAAAATTATTAATGAGTATTGCAAATTACCATTTAAGTTTAAGCTTTACACATTTTGGCGCCAAAAAGAGCGGAGTTGTTTACAACAAAAGGAACAATTTTATGGTGATAATAATCAATCATATTTTTATAATTGTAGAATATGGCTAGAGTGGGAGACTCATTTTCAATTGAATTAACTCAAGTGCCAATTTTTGTCGCCACAATTGGTGGACTAGAAGTAAAGTTCTGTATTCATCCCGAATCACTGCTGTCACAGCATAAGAATATTTATAGCAGGAATAAGGAACAGTACTTAAATTAAAATATGATAACTGTGCCAAAAAGGTGAGAACAACTCTTAAAATTTGGGCCTCAAAAACAGAAATGTTTGTTAAAATCAAAAAAATGTGTTGTTCAACGTTGATTTATATTAATCCCAATATTATTTTATTTATACACATAAGGTTACGAACAAATTATTAACCAATTGATACAATCGAGTGGTGAGTGGAGCTAGCAAGTATGCCTTAGATGACCCCCATACAGGATTTATAGGTTTTTGATGAAATTAAAATGAAATATTTTTGCGTCTGCTTGTTATATGTCTTTGCAAATTTCGTACTTGACCCGCTATTGTTGCATGTGGATGTTTGCCGTTGGAAAAAAGTTTTCGTAACATTAACAACTTGTTGTCTGTCGCTGACAACAAAACAAAATTTTATACCACAATATGTTTATGGTTTCAGCAAATAACTAAATTTTTCCGGTTTATTTTGGTTGTTACCGCAACATAAGCAAAACGCGCAAAACAATCACCTGTCTGTCGTATAATGTAGTGGTGTCTCTCCACACAATTAGTTTTCGACACACATGCTCTCTGTCTCTCTCTCCTTGTGAGCTCATAACATACATATGTATTTTGCAAAAATGTTTATGGCTGCAAGGGATTTTCGATTTACTATGTTTTGTTGTAATCATGAAAAAGCATAATTTTTTGCATTAATACATGGAAGCAATAGGCAACAACAGTTAGTAAATAAAGGGACACATTGTTGTAAATATATCTATTAAAAGAAAAGTTATCATGAAATGTTGAAAGTTATCATGAAATGTCTAAAGGTGATGATACATAAACTGCTTGGCATCATGCCATGGCATGATTTAAGGTGAGAATACATAAAACGCTTCTTTTTTGACTGGCTTAAATCATCAGCTGGCCTCTTTGTAGAGAACCAAAGGAGTTTTAGGTTGACTTAGTTCGATTTTGGCCCTACGCTCCTTTGTTCTTTTCGAAGAAACAAGGCGATGACTTTTCAATTAAAAAAGTGTTTTATGTATTCTAACCTTTAGTTTGTGACTTATCATAAAGGGATATCAGTACCGCACTCAAATCCTGCTGTTTTCTTTTTTAATTTGACATTAATGTGTCATGCCATGATGCCAAGGTGCTTATGTATCACCGCCGTAGATTTCATAAGTATAGATATAAATCTCACCTATTTACTAATAGGCGGTGCTTTAAAGTATATCGAAAAAAACCAAGGTGGTAATATATTGGCATGTTCGCACATGTCCATTTTCATTTATTTGTTAAATTTATTAATAAAAAAGATGTACTTTTCTAGTTAATAAAATGCTCCAAACATAATTGTTCTGATGTAGTTTTATGTACATGCATATGTAGGTGTGTGTGTGGAGAACGCACAGGAATTAAAAGAACAAATAAAAATTCACAAAGTCAAAGTTAAGATTTTCATTGACGGTCGCTGTTTATTGTACATGGAAGTAAGTGTAGGTCACTGACGGCTGCCGAAAAAGTTCATCAGATACATAGCCATATGTATGTTTGTACATATGTATATATTCAAACGACATTTGATATTAAATATAATTAAGTTTGACTTGAAAACTAGATCGTTTTATTTTACGATTATACACATACACAAATATGAGAATGCTTTGATTATTAGAGTGGGCCGGGAATTTAAATAATTCATGGATGAGCTGTCCCGGCAAATACCAGCCTTTTACTGAAATTCATAATGTAATGGCCAAGTTAAATGCAAAAGCAAGAATTAGGAGATTTTCCAATCAAATTCGAATCTACATATATTGCCTTTTATAAACTTCATTTAAAGACATAGAAGTATAAAGATGGGACAATACAGAGTCAAAATATGGCAACCCTGTGAAAATACATCTGTTGTTATGATATCATAACAACATAATTACTAATGTTAACTGATTTAAACCGCTAAGGAAATATGCAAATTTTTGGAAAGGTCTATGGGATATATATTTGAAACCACATTTTTGATTTTTTCAAACATTTACTTGTTATTTGTTTCTGTAATTGTGGTTTTTATATTAAAATGCTTTTGTCACGAGCTGTCACTCTATGTATTGTAGATACAAACCATTTGCTCAAAATGCATTTTTTTCTTCTTACTTATGTTTATTTTTATGGCTAACACATTGTTTTGTTTTGACAAATCAGCTGATTGCTTGGATTCCGTCTGCTTACTTTTCATTTCCATTTTTCACTCTCTCAGAGGGAAAACTAATCTGGCAGACCTATTGTTTTACAGTACAATAATAAAACTCCCAGTGATTTATTTGTCACTTGACTTTAAAATAAATATTTAACATCTACAAAATTCCCTTCTAAGGGATTTAAGCTACTAATCTATGGCTGGAAAAAATCGTTGGGTATTTGTAACTCCACACCCTAATCCACATAAACGTATTTCTACATTTGCACATCACACTTGTCCGGCATTTGTGTTTGCCTGTCGGTCTATCTGTCAGTCCGTCTGACATCTGTTTAATTTTATTTTGTATGGGGAAATTAGAATTTACGATAGGCTTAGCTTCTGGATACACCGACACACACGGAGTCTGTTTCGTATTATTCATAGGGAAAACACACAGAACTGTAGCCGTTGAAAATGTTCCTCTTCTCTTCTCCTTGTTTTGTTAAATCTGTTTTTCGTCGGATTTAGTTAATCACATAAAGTCAATTGAAACGTGTTTGTGCCACAATTGTCTTGACATTTTTCTCTTCTGATGCGGTGCTGAATTTTTTTAACAGTGATGCGAAGAAGTTTTCGGTAAAATTTTTAATGTTTTTTTTTTAAATGTGAAGTAATTTGTCGACTGTGAGACATATCATGGTAGAAGAATACAGGTAGTCACACCGACACAGCTGCTGGGACAATGAACTGTCAAACTTATTTTGGAATTGAACTTTTTGAATGAAAAATTATTCAAATTTGTAAAAAAAACATCCATTTTGCAACGTATAGGAAAAGATATACAAATCTACTTATTTTTGAACAAAAAAATTAAAAATGTTTGACATATCATTGTTCCCATGGCAGAAAAATACAGGTAGATGCATCAACGCTTGGGAGCATTGATATGTCAAAAAAAATTTAAATGTATTTTCAAATATAAGTAGATCTTTATATGTTTTCTTATCCTACGTCATTCGGAGGCTATTATAATTCGCGTTTTTCAACAATTTTTACAAATTTAAATATTTTTTTATTCAACATTTTCAATTCCAAAATTGGTTTGACAGTTCATTGTCCCAGCAGCTGTGTCGATGCGTCTACCTATATTCTTCTACCATGTTCCTAAGTGTTGATGCATCTACCTGTATTCTTCCATCATGGACATACATGATTAAAATATATAGGTACTTTTTCGGTCATAGTGTGCCCTATTTTTATATTTATAAATGTAAAGGCCATCAATCCAAACACAGTCTAATTCCTAATATTTTTTTATGACGAAAACATTTCATCTCCACTGTAAGAATAGATTTATTTTAAGATATTATATTTTTTTCCTACAAAAAAGTGCTGTTTTAGTGCTTTAGGAAGTTCACAGCCATTAAAGTCAATGAACATTTAAACAAGACATTTCAAAAGATTAGATCAAATAAGGAAAACTTAGATATGTAGCCTCAGTGGCGGACAATGAATGCATGCATGTGCCGGCCAGAGCAAATTCCATGCAGTACAACACCAACAATGTTATGCTTTTATATGGAAAGTAAAAGTTCATGAGATAGCCCAACAAAGATACGCAAGCGTGCCGCCGTCAACGGGCATAGCAGCATTCCGTTTCAATGGCATGAAAAAGGGTGAGTCAAGAAGCTGTGGCGGTTCTCTGTTTGTGGTTATTGATAATAATATCGTGCCTAGTCTTGTGAACACGTACTCGAATTTCTTCCATTGCCAGGGCATTGTTTCGAAACAGGGAAGATTCCATCAGATTGGCTGGTAATTGCAATTATTCATAATTCAATTACATTTCTTTTGTTGTTGGTCTTTGTTTGACAGGAATATTGTTAAGCACTTGATTTTTTGTTTGTTTTGACACAAAAAAGACCTTGCTGTGATGTGATGCGTCCATGGAACAAATAGTTCTTCCTGGATATTTTTTGCGCCGCATTTCTTTAGAAAAATATCTCCGTTTAATGAAATTCCGTTAACATGTCCGCATGACTCATGTGGGCAATAGGAAGGTTTTTTTTTGCTTTTCTTGTTAAAATGTAAGCAAATGTAA